TTGCTCAAAATCTTTTCTAATTGCTTCAGAATCTTAAGTGGATTTGGAAAAAGCCAGTGGCAAACTGTTCCCTCTTCCTACCCAAATAAATCACCTAGAAAGAGTCTGCAAGGAACTTGATGCAGTTCCTGACATAAATGTACATATAAAAGAATTTTTTTTAATTGTCATAAATAAGGGAAACATTCTGCCAATAAGTAACACATAAAATAAACTAATGAAACATAAGTATAACAGTGGTTAGAAGAGCAAAATCAACGCTGCTTATAACTTCATATTAGATGTATACGTTATATTTATAACTTCATTTACAATCTATAAACTTCACTTACATGAAGTTATAACATATACATATGAAATATAAATATATATGAAGTATAAAGATGAAGTTGTAAATATAATTGGATTAATATATTAGTTTTTAATTGTGGTTTTTTATGAGTTATCACAGTTTCTGTGTTATGCCCAATGGTTCCCCTGGCTGCAAAAGTACAATCACCTGGAGAGCTTTTCAAAAACACCTGTGGTGAAGCCCGGTCTGTGGAGACTTTGATGGTGGAGGGACCACTGTCTCCACTATTTACAGGTGCTTCAGGTATTCTAACAGGAAGTCAAGGATGAGAACCACTGAGTGGAGGGAAGAACATTGACTTTGGGAACAAAAGTTGACTGTGGCGTTAACAGATGTGCCACCTTGGGAAAGCCCCTTGCTTTCTCTAAGTACCAGTTTCTTCTGTCACAAAATGGGCACAATCATATCTACATGAAGAGTAGATAGGAAGATTAAAATCAAATGATATGAATTTACCCCAAAACACAATTTCTAACACACATTAGGCCATCACTGAAGAGCTGTTCTTTCCTACTCATCTATTTTAAAGTTTCTTTCCTTTCATGAGGTCTCACTTAACTCTTTTTCATAATTAGTTGTTGCATTGTCTTGCTCCTCTTTGTGCTGACCTCCAAAATTCTAACAGAAACAACTTGAGTTGTGTTGTAAAATAAGAGATTTAACTATAAATATAAGTTAAACCCATGAATGACTGATCATTGCTGTATAATACACCATTCCTCCATATACCAGAAAATTAGGATTACAAAAGGCAGCCTATATTTGGAAAGCAGTTTCATCAAGAGGCACCAGAATACGCACAAGCAGTCTTAGAATGTACATATAAATCACTTCCAGTTTAATAGTCACATTCTCTATCAGGAATGCTAAGGGAGAGTCACCAAGGAGCATGACCGGATGTTAACACTAAATGGCAATGGAGGCCATCGTATGCAGTCTACCAAAATTGAAATGACAACCCCACTCTGTGGCTTGCCAGAGACAGAAAAGATGGTGAAGGGATTATGTATTAGCAATATATTGAGGAGAGCTGCTCTTTATAGAGTGGAAGAAGGTGGCAGAATAAGGACTCCTGAGAAAATAACAGGTGTCTTTTGGAGCAGACTTTAGGTAGGCAAGGTGGAGTCTCAATAGCACATGACCTTTTAAATAGCATCAAACGTGTTACACTGAAGGATGGTCTTTCCTGATGTTCAGTAAATTCATCACTTGTGTTTCAACTCATGTTCATTTTAAATATGAAAAACAGCATGTATGTGTCTAATATTGAGTATAATGCTTTTGCTTGCAGAATTTTATATGAGGAATGAGTTCCTATGGTTCCCTCCAAGGCCAACCTCACCCAGGGACTATGCAGAGATGGACCACACCCCTGTTCAGTCCTTTCTGTAGATTTTATCTCAGCTCTGTTTTCATCAGCTCAAATGCCCAATTACTTCTCCATGGATATTCTCCTACCCCTCCCTCTTTGATTTGGGGCTGATGTGATTGTTATAACTAGTTTCTAGAAGCACTTAGTGCTTTCTACTTCTGTTTATTAGATTAGTCTAATTATAGGCATATTTTTCCTTTACACCTGTATACTAGGGACTTTAGTGCTGGCCAATTGTTTATTTCTTCTTTCAATCCACAACATTCATGCCTTAAAGTAGTCACCAAAATCTCTCTTTACTTATTTTGAATACAATTTACTCTCTCTAAAAGAAAAAATGATTTCTCCTACAATGTGATAATTGTAAGACATAGATTACTCTAAGATGTTTAGATGCTAGAAAAACATGCTTCTATATTTTACTGCATATTAGGATAAAAAGAAATTTATCTAAGTATATATTGATAGTCCAAGGAGATTTTGCCTTGGTACTTCAGGTCTGCATGTATCCTGCTTTTATCAGATTAACCCCTCCCCTGTTATTTACTTATTCTCTATTCCCATGCTTACTGTATAGTGCATTATGTTGTATTCATATAGAGATGGGCTGTTTCCTTATTGTTCTTTCTCTAACATTTTCTTTCTCTCTCCCATCTCCCATAGCCCCCTCAGACAGACTCAGTAATATAATTTTGTTCTCTCTGTTACTACATATACATATATGTGTGTAGGTACACACATATACACACACATATATATGATCATATATGTTTCTACATATACATTTAACTTATAGATCTAGCTTTCATATATGAGAGGAAACATGTGACCTTTGGTTTTTTTGAGCCTGGCTTACTTAGCTTAACACGAAGTTCTTCAGTTCCATCCATTTACCTGCAAACAACATAATTTTATTCTTCTTTAAGGCTGAATAAAATTCCAATGTGTACATAAACCACATTTTCTTATTCCATTCATCAGTTGTGAGGCATCTGGGCTGCTTCCAAAACTTAGCTATTCTGGGGATGGGTGCGGGGAGGGGGAGGGCACAAGGAAGAGGGAAATGAGGATATATATATGGTGAATGTGTTTTGTATCAATATATGAAAATAGAAGAATGAAACCTGTTGAAATTTTTCTAAGAAGGGGGTTGGGGGAAGGAGGAAGAATGATGGGGGGGTAAATCTAACTAAGATATATTGTAAGCACATATGTAAATATCACAATATATTTTCCCAAACAACTATCATATGCTAATAAAATCAAAAATAAATTAAATTAAAAAGATGTAGCTCACTAAACTCTAAATTTCATGGGATTACTTTAAAGAACATATTAAGTGTTTAAACTTAAAGTGTGAGTATATCTAGAGAAAAATAATCTATGGATATATAGATAGCATATGGATTTAGAAGACACTATGTAAGTTTGTATGCAGATAACCAAACTTTGAGAAGCACTATTGTAGAATTTACATGCCAACAAGTCTGTAAATTGACTCTATCAATTTGGTTACTTGGTTGTCCCAAACAGGGCATTAACATTACTGACTAAAAGCTTGGTAGTATGAAAAATTAGTACTGAGATTTTTTAAATTTAATAAAATCAATATTATGTTCATTAAATATAGTTTATAAATCTAGAAGACAGGTCAATAAAAACATGATCATGACTGTCCATTACACAAAATCCAAAAGTACGGATTTTTATAGAAATGTAGAAATATGACAAAGATTTTAGGGCTGTAATAATTGGGTAGACTGTTGTTTAAGGCTTCAAAACAAAGACATGCGCACATCCATGCAAGAGAGACAGGGTTAAGATGCTCCCTGCAGCCTTGTTCATAACGGAGAACAACCCAAGTGTCCATCAATTGGACTGAGATCAGCACATTAGATGGTAACCAGTAGTTACAATGAATGAAGGAGATACATGTGTCAATACAGATGGATATTAAAAACAAAGTTGAGTGAAAGAAAAAAACAAGTTACAAAATGCTATAGATTAAAATATATATATACACATATACATGTATGAAAATAGCATAATGATACCCACTAAAAGCAACTTTTGGAGGGGATGGGGGAATAAGAAAGGATTTGATCAAAGTATATTACATGCATGTGTGGAATATCACAATGAAACCCTTTGGTATAATTAATTTGTGCTGATTTTAAAAAGATAAAGGTCTTTATGGGATTTGTGTTAAATACTTAAAGTAATATGTTGTTTATGATTCCATGCATCCAGTAAAAATGAAAAAATATAGACTGAAAGGTAACTACTAAATTCATGAGAGTGAATTCCTCTGGAATGGGAAGAGAAAAGGAAATAAAGAGGGCTTCTTCTTGATTATAAATTCTTTAATTTCTTTCATTTTAAGTGCCTAGTACATGAAGGTTTACCATATTCTACTTTATTTTCTATTTGTTTTTTGGAAGCAAAAAACCCCAGGATATCAGTCCAGAAATGTAATGGTGAAAATCATTTTACATAAATGCTCTTGAGGTGGGAGAGAAAAACCAGAATTGCATATCTTCTAATAGCTATGTTGAAGAATTAGGTGGTTATTGAGGGACCCTGCTAAATACTACAAGATGTACAGTGCCAGGACTCTGCTGAAGTCCGATTAGTGACATAATTCCTTTCTACAAGTATTATCCCTCTAATTGTATTCTCTGCAAATACTCTTTATATGTCACATACAAATCCCTCTGTAAGATGTTATGGTTAGAACATCTTAGACATTTCTTAGCTGCTGCTGTCACCACCTGACAAGAAAATGCCTTCTTTGTCCACAGTGAGCTGGTCATCTAAGCAGTAAGAGAACAACTGAGGGACTCATTTTTTTTCATGTGACTACTGACTCTCTACCTAGAAAAAGAAAAGAAGAAGGGTTTGAAAGAAAATGAGTCTGGATTATTGTGACATTTAAACTCTCTGATATCTTTGAGATCACAATTTTTTTTATGTTTTGATATGCCAGAACAAAAATCATTATTTTTTCTCCTCTAGATGTTCTTTCCTTGAGAAAATAACTGACGTTTGTTTCACATTAATTTTAAATATCATAGTGAAATGTTATGGATTTCTAAAAGACTTAAAGGCAATGAAGGTGCTGATAAACACTTAGTTATGCAAATAGCCAGACTAGATTCTGAAAACTAGTAGATGGATTCCTGGGTCAAAAGGAAGCAGTCAATCACTCTGAACCTGCAGTCAAACAGTACTTATCTAACCTCATGCAAAATCTCTTTTCTGCTTTTTCTTAAAATGGTGAAACTGGACTGCCAGGTTTTCCAGGGTCTATTGGCCCTAAAGAACAAAAAGGAGAGCCTGTGAGTATTTAAGTTTTGAGGGCAGAGGAAGACTATTAAAAAAATTGAATTAAAAATATGTTTCCCATCAGCCCCTATTTCATAGACTTTGGTTGACTCTGTCATGAACAACAGATCAGATCTTTAAGCAAGTTTACAACATGTATTATCACAATCCATAAAGAAATTGCATGAAGTAAGCTATTATCACTTTCATTCTTCAGATGAGGAAAGCGAGGCACAGAGAGATTAAGCACCTTTCCTTAGGGCACACAGCTAATATGTATGAGAGACATGAATTGCACATAGGTGGGCTGATTCCAGACCCAGGCTTTAAAACCACTAAACCTCCCTGATATAAATAAGCAGTATAGCTAAAATGAGTATTAAAATCAATAAGTCCAAAGACTGTACTAATTTATCTAAAAAATGGGAAACGTTTATGCATTTGCTCAAATAACTGCTCTCAGTACATTTCTGAAATTGTTTTCCTTTCTGTTTTCTGTAAGATAAAAGTGACTTCCCAAGCCACTTTTCAATATTGCTGTGGCCAGTTTCTTCTGAAACATCTCTTTTGGTAGGGGGAGAGAAGATTTTTAAAAACCCTGCTATCTCATTTATATTTAAGTAGGATCACTTAAAGAGATTACAAAAAGCCACCTTACAAAAAACGACTTTTTAGTTTAATGGTGCTCATAAAAAATATCAAGGACTAAAAAGAACCAAAAACCTAGAAGGCTACAAGAGACAGGCTTAGCATACAATCTTTTTAAATGTAATACAGCTTTTCAAATCACTTTTACCCATTTTCCTTCCACGGTGAATCAGGAATCTTGGTTTCTGAGGGGATAAAAAAATGAAGAGGTCACTAAAATGCCAAACAAGAACAATAGTGAAAGTATTTAATGCCAAGCTTTCGCTTTGCCTCACCTTAACACTTAGCCATCTTTAGCAACCATGGCAATATTCGGAGGCAGCTTTAAAAGCAACACTGTACCTATGTACCCAGTTATTCTACTCTCAGGGTCATGCTTGTCCTTCATGTCTGGTCTGAGCCTCCCTGCTGTGATGCGGGATCAAACAGTCTTTAGTAGAATTCTCCAACTCAGTGTTTCCAAGGATGTCTGGAAAATCTCATGTTCCACAAATCCAGCCCAGTGGCTACTGCCCCTTCCACACCTTCCAACTCACTCCTGATGGTCCACATTTGAAGGCTCCTCTTAACATCTGCTTGCTTCTTCTCCAGGTCGTCACCGTCTTCACTCCAAGTCCAAACATTGACACCCTTTCTCTTAATTTCTGGCATCAAGATTTAGTAAAACTTCGCTGGAAAGGCAGGAAGAGCGAAAAGAAAAGGTTTCATTGAGTTAGAGCAGTGCTCCTCAAATGTGAACGTGTTCTTGATTCCTGTTGAATCTTACTCAGTAGATCTGGGTTAGGGCCTGAAAGCCTTCATTTCTCACAAGCTCGGAGGTGCTGCTGGTTCTGTAGGTCCATGGACAACATTTCAAGAGCAAGAATTGGAGAATTTCATGGTTTCCTAGGGGTTATATGCCTTTGCCTCTCTAGAGGTAAGCTATTATCACTTCCATTCTTCAGATGAGGAAAGCGAGACACAGAGATTAAGCGACTTTCCTTAGGGTACACAGCTAATATGTATGAGAGCCATGAATTGCACATAGGTGGGCTGGTCCCTCTGGCTTTCTCTCCCACCATCACCATTCAGGGGAGCCTGCCTGCTACATCATGACGGGCTTTAGCCTCATCTTACTTATCCAAGAGGACAAGCTTCTCTTCCCCCCAACTCTTCTCTTGATCCCATCATTACCCTATTCTCTCCATAAGTCTTTGCTTGCCTTCCTCCCCCAAGTTTATATTACTGTGCAGAGCAGTATCAACCATTCCATTATAGAACAGGATCTAGACTTGACTTTGCATAATAGCCAAAAGGCTCAAACAGAAGCGTAGCCATCATCCTTCATCCAAAGTGGAATTCTGAACCACTGATCCTGAATGGTAACTTTAAAATGGCAATTTGTCCCCCTCCTCCACTGGACATTGAGAATATGACTAGATGTGCAACACATCAGAGCTAAAATATACTTAAAGCGACCATCTGGTTGAACTCCATGATTTTAAAGAAAGGAAAGGCACTCTGAAAGTTTAAACAACTTGCCCACATATCATAGCCATTGGAGCTAGAACTAAATATCAAGTCTATATACAGCCAACCCCCTGGACGTTTTCCTCGTACAAGCCACTTTAGTTGATATGAATTTTGAGCTTGATAGTGACACTCAACAAGCAATGGCAGGACGAGTATGACATCGGCAGAAATAAGCGGTGGTGGAAGTAATGTGACCCACAACTCATGTGTAATTAACCTCATCTCAAATCTTCAAAATTACATAGGTGTTTTAGAATGAAGCCTGAAAAAGAAGAATATAAAGAAAACCTTGATCTAGTATATAGAAGTTAACCAATAATGAAGGATTTGGTCATGTTGGGTCCATATGGGGTATGTTAGTCAGTATAGGCTAGGTCATACTGAGTAACTGTAACCCTGATATTTCTGTGGCTTAACCCAAGGAAGGTTCTCTTGCTTGTGCAATATGCTCAGCATGGTTCAGTGGAGAGGGGCAGGAGGTGTGTCCATCCCATTCAGTTTCCAGGCTGATTACCACCATATAGCTACATCTCCTTTGGTATATATAGTCACCTCAGTCACCACCCCAGGGAAGTGGGACTGGAGAGCTATGAAGGACTTCTCACTGCCTCATCTTGTCATTTCTGGTTTGATTTTGTTGCCATAATTAGCCCCATATAACTGTAATGGAGCTAGGAAATGTGGGAGAAGGTGAGCCCATAGTCCCTAACACATAGGATACATGGTAAAAATCACTGAGGGTCATTTTATCTCACACAAGTGATTCATTCATTCAAAAGGATAGGGATCTTTAAGCAACCTCTGAGAGTTGTAATATCTACCATGCTGGTTCTCACATTTTCTCTTGACTTTCATATGTAAAATAATTTTTTGAAGTTTATGGTTTCTATCTTATTGGCAATACACTCAATTCAAATAATGCATAAATCTGATTACAGAATCAAATCAGACAGCTGAACAAGTAAAGCCTGGAGTTGAATGAAACCAGGCTGCCTGGGTTTAGATCCTGGACCATCCTTTGCTGGCTTTGTAGTCTTAGGGAGATTATTTAACTTCTCTGTCCTAGCATCCTCATCTTTAAAAGAATATACTAACAGCACCTCCCCACATTGACACCTGAGATTTAACTATGTTAATATGTATAAAGTGATTAGAACAATGTTTGATACATTGTAAGAACTCAATAAATGTTAGCTATTACTGTTAGATCTGCACTCCTTTAAATTCCCAAATTTAGTAAACCTTGACTGAATACCAACAATGTAAATATCTATTTGAGACACCAAAGTGCTATGAGTATTAAGATGGGTTCTATTTCAATACTAACAAAATATATAGCCAACATAAGACAAAGAAACATAAAGTAGACTGAATGCTATTGTAGAAAAATAGAGGGATCTATCACAGCTCAGTTGCTGAACATTCCTGAGTATTTTCTTCATTTCTTCATCCTTGAAAAGGGATAGTAATATCTTCTTCACATTGCCATGAAGATCAACGAGATGATGTACTTAGTAACTTAGAGAACCAAAGCTGCATTGTGGCAGCGTAACTCAGTGACAGTGGAAGAGTGTCGGTTAATAAGGAGTATCCCCCATAGCTTTTATCTCTTCCCTAGGACTGTTATACCTAAACACAACAGGAACCCTTATCAGTTGGAAACCCGTGTAATATTATTTACGCAGTATTATCCCCTTCACGTCATTTTCATTAAAGAAAAAATGAAAACTGTAAAAGTATTTTTTAAATAATGATTTTATATGCTTAAGTACACAATTTAGCCATTGGAAGAATTCAGCTGTGAATGCCTTTCCATTTAACATTTCATTGTTTTCATACTCACTCTGCCTCCAATTTGTGTGTGTGTGTGTGATTATTCATCTTCATTGGGTAATAAGAAGTTTTGGCCTTGGGCAGCATTTCAATTTGTCAACCACTTGGGATCCTCTAATAATATTAGAATGATTAACTCAGTGTGCACTTGGGAATACGAAGGAGTTTATAAATTAATTCTCATACTCTGCCTTTCAGCTCTAAAAGAAGACCATGTGCAGTGGAGGTGTAATTTTGGCCTGCAGGGTTTATCCACACCTAGCTTTGGAGAGCTTATTTCTAAAACTGTTTATAATTGATTCTGTTTTCTACCCATTTTCCTAGGGGGAACCTTTAACAAAAGGTGAAAAGGGAGATAGAGTAAGTAGATGTTTTATCACTATCTTGGGTTTTCTACTTCATTGATTTCTTTCTATGATTTCTATTATGTTTACTTTAGAGCCTAATACATTTGATAAAAATAAGCTTCCTGAGTATTTACTTTTACTTCTGTGATTTTTTTGACCATTTTAAACCTTGTTAGGTGCTGTCATGTAATAATACTTTAACTTTTGGTTTGGGTTACACAGGGTTTCTTTAACCCATTACTGCTAGTGATTGTTACACTAGCATACACTAGCATGAATGTTACAAGATATTAGTTATAACATCTAAACTACAAAATTACAACAGAGGATAGAGTTTTTTAAAAATTTCTTTTAAAAACACAAAGTGGGTTTATCAAACATATTATTATCATGAAAAATAAGGAAAGCAATATTGTATCTTATATATCTTACTTTCTTCTGTTTTTTATTAAATACCTATACAGTACCTAATAGTGGAATCACCACACATTTCACCATAGGGTCTGTTCTTCCCCCAACCCTTATCTGGAGTTTTAATTCTCTGGGAGATAAAATTAGTTGGTGGCAAATCATAACAGTGTTAGCTAAGAAGAGAATGTAGCACTAATGCAACATGAGTCAGAAAAATTTTATAAAGAAGAAATGAAATAAGAAGTAATTGCTTATGTATTAGCAATAAGTATTTTGAGTCATATTTTAGAATGAACCTTCCTTATGTCTTCCATGGTTTCCCTCTTTCTTGTGTGTTAATAGTGGAAACCCACGTAATGTGTTGGGGATGTCTAGCTTCATCCGCACCCTTGCATTACCCTTATGGTGGTTGCTTTCTTTACAGGGAGAACCTGGGATGACAGGATCACAGGGAGTAAAGGTAATCTCTTAGGATTCTTCAAGTGCTTCTACAACCTTAAGGAGCTCGTGAAAATGCTAGTTAACATTTAACTTTCTTTCCCACTCAATTTTAGGGAGAACCTGGAGATCCTGGTCCCCCTGGTTTAATGGGAAGCCCAGGACTAAAGGTATATAAGAAGTAGCTAATACGTATTAGGGAGTCAGTATATTTGGAAACAAAGCCATTCTTTGTTCTCAACAGTGCTTTGGTGTGCCTCTCATTTTTGTCACAGATGTTCTCAGAGACTTTATCTTGTTGCATGGTGATTCTCCCCCGCAACACACACACTGGCTATGCCATTGCATACACATAACTACTTTTTCAGTCACACTAGGATTTTAACATGCATTTTCAGAGCATATTCATGTGACATCCCTAAAAGCTGTAAGAGTAAACAATGTGGGCTAAATTTATGACCTTGAGCTGTATTCTTAAAAAGGAGCAGGATTCAGGATTCTGTTTCCAAACCAAACTTATGCAGCCCTGAGGTGCTTGAGTTTCCCTCATGTGAGTCTGCAGGTTTGTCCCAAGAAAGAACAGTTTGGGGGAAATGTGGAAGAGAGTCATATGATGTGCTTCCAGCCAATTGATAAGGCAAGTTACCCAGTCATCACCTGCTGGTAAAAATAGAACCATTAAATGAAACACCAAGAAACTATTTTGGTAAGTCCACAGCAATTTGATCATTGTACATAGAAGTGAGATGGTTAAAAGTCCATCTGTCTACAAACAAATGTCATGTCATGTTCTATAAATATCCAGGTACAGGCTGGGCATAGTGGTAGATGCCTGTAATCCCAGCTACTCTGGAGGCAGAGGCAGGAAGATCATGATTTTGAGGCCATCATGGCAAAAGTTAGTGAGACCCTATCGCAAAAATGAAATAAAGACAAAAAGTGGTATACAGCACTTGCCTAGCAGTCATGAAGCGCTGAGTTTAATCCCCAGTACCACAAAAGAAAAAAAAAAATATCAGGCACACTCTCTCTATTTTTCAAACAAAGTTAAAGCATATATCACTTTCTATTTAGGGTCAGCAAGGACCTGCAGGTTCCACGGGGCCCAGAGGAGCACCAGGAGATGTTGTATGTATAGTATCTTCATTATTTTGAAATGAAATCAAAACTAAGACAAGTTTTAAAGAACGTCAGTATTGTTCGTGTAATGGAGTTATGCTACATTTCCCAAAGACGTGGTCCATCTCTGCCACTGAAACTGATCATACTCGTACCTTGGGCTCTTAGCGGGGGTTCATCCTCCCTTTATGTATTCATATAAGGGCCTTTGGACCTTAACCTAATATGTAGGTCTTTGAAGCTAAGTTAACTAAATGATCATTTTGGACATGTTTGGTAGTAATGTGCCTTCAATAAGGGAGACTGGAGGTGTCAAAAGAAGTAGGGAAAACCAAGAGAACACAAGCATTTCCAATATGCATGACCCTGGGTTCAAATCACCATCTAAGGAAAACACTTTGGCTTTAAGTCTTTTGGGTGAAAATATTTCTATAATGAAGTTGGAGGGAGATCATCAAGCAACATTATAATATCCCTGCCCCAGACACATACACACCTGCTTTCATTTTCCTTAGAAACATCTGTCTACCTATTTGCCCAGATCAACTTTCTGTGCCTTGGACAACCTCGCTAGCCATCTGAAAACTTGGAAGCTAAGAGTTTCCCATCAACCCACACTTGAGCAAAACAAGAAAAACCCTTGGTCACAACTTCTTGATCACTATCTGACCACAGTTAGAGTTCTCGTTAGGCAACTTTTAGGGCATCTCTTTGACCTCTTTCTCTCCTCCCAAGGTCTGTTGGTCATCACTCATTCTGCTTGGTACTTCAGACATCCAGAGCAAAGTGTTTTATTGCTGCCCAAAGCCAATTACTGAACCAATTCATGGGTACCTAGTAGATATCTTTTATAGAAAGAGAGAACAGACTGGTTGCACAGGTGGAACCACAAGATGCTCAAGTGAGGTTAAGGATAGTGGCTGGAGCTGAAAAGAGAGTGAAATGAAAAGGAAAAGAGCAATGGCTGCAAAGCAGAATGGAACATATTTCTCATTACCTTATTGTCTTTTTTAATTATGATGTGATACTACCCTTCTTGGTAATCATATGGGTATGACACTTCTATCTATCTATCTATCTATCTATCTGTCTGTCTGTCTATCTGTCTATCTATCTGTCTCTTTCCCATTGTATCCAGTTGACTTCACTTGAAACAATAAGCCACATATTTTCAACTAATATTTTTCCCTAACAGAACAAAATCAACCCATCCCCTTATAGCTTATAGGTTAAAATTCTGTTCATTTACAAAGATTCACAGTTAGAAATGTTATTTCTTAGCAGATGTCCTAATTGCTCTTTCCTTTTAACTCTGAATTTTTAGGGATCAGCAGGAGAACATGGTATCCCAGGAAAACAAGGTGTTAAAGGAGAAAAGGTATAGTTCATATTTTACTCATTTTGTGTATCAAGTAAATAGGTAGGGAAGAGACCAAGCATCATAGGGTATCGGAGAAGTGAAAGGACAGCACAAAGCTTGTGGTTTGGTGCAAGGGACAGACATTTATATAAACTACGATGTGGTGAATGGCTGCCTCTGAGTTGTGCACTGCAGAGGCCCAGGTTCTGGTGCACAAACTCCATAGATGAGCTAACTTAAGGATAAAGATGTCAGAACATAGACACTGTCAGGCGCAGTACCGACTGTGGTATAGAAGTAAGAAATCTCTTAGGTTTTCAGGATCTGTTTACTGATATCTATGTGGTAAAAGCACATTAAGATTGAATCATTAGAGAATAAGGAAAACGTAAACGTCATCTAAAGAACTTCATGAATAATCACGTACTTTTTGTGCCTGCGTTTATGCACATGTATATATGTTTCGTGATACTGCTAAACCTATTGTAACATAAATCACTACAAAATCTAAATGCACTTAAGGTAACTAGCACAGTGCCTAAAGTGAATTAGGCGCTCAGCATGTATTATTGGAGAACTGAGTAAGTGAATGAATGAGTGAATAAATGAATGAATGAAGTTTGACTGGTTGTGATGACAAATGAAAGTAATGGATTATCGATACTGTCTTTTCCCACTTCCCATCATAAACCTGAGCAGCAAACTAAGAATCTCATCTTGTTTTGTGCAGGGAGACCCAGGTGGGATTGCAGGCCCTCCTGGGCTTCCTGGTCCAAAAGGTGAGGCAGGTCCTCCAGGGAAGAGTCTGCCAGGGGAACCAGTAAGTGCCAGCCCTTTTACTAAGATTTTCCTTGAAAGTTCATTCACTCTGACTTAGGGGCTCCCAGTTTCAGGGCACAAGTGTAAGAGTGGGCCTGCCAGAAAAGAAGCATTCATCCTGTTCCTTACATCAGAGGTATAACACCTTGGAAAGTTTGATGTAAGCTAGGGGCTCTATTCTGAAGAAAAGCCTGTGCACCCATTCTTCTGCACTTGATTTTGGAAGATGCATAGGCCCTCTGAATCCTGTGTGATTCCTGAGGGATCCATGGATCTTAGTACACTGGTTTAAAACCATGAACCTTCCTAAGACTCTGCCTTAAGACAAATGCCTGACATTGCCCTTCCAGAGCTTTGCAGATGTTGCCAAAGGTTGTCATTCACAGAAAATGTCTCCGTGATCCAGCCTTTTCCCAGGACATAGAAAACTGCATGACCAGAATATCTAAGTAGCCAACACGCCTGTTTTGTGTGCCTTTTTTCTCATCCTCTTCAAACCTTCTATGTCTGTTAGCAGTGGCAATTATAGTTCTCAGTGGTAGATGTTTTATTTATACATAAGTACCTCTTACATTCATAGTAACTATGTAGCATCTGTAATCTATTGAAATTTGTTTCTAGTCCTTCCTTATTCTTCCTTGCAAAAAAAAAAAGGCTTACTCAAGTAAAATGAAGAGCAACGCAACGTATTTTTGAATCATGACTTCTATGTTGTTTTCAATATTTTTAGAAAAAGAAATGTATTCACTTCCTTTTGTATTTTCCTTTCTTTTAGGGGTTAGATGGAATGCCTGGAGTACCTGGTCCACGTGGGCCAAAGGTATAAAAATATCATAACTAATTTTAAAAGAATTAATGTTAACAAAATGTGACAGAAAAATCCATGCTTCTTGAACATTGCACTAACGAGAACATCTTGTTTCACAGGGTGAAAGAGGACTGCCAGGTGTCCACGGTTCCCCAGGTGATGTGGGCCCACCAGGGGTAGGAATTCCTGGCAGAATGGTAAGTAAAATTCAATTGAGTTCTTGAAACCCAATTAATTTCAATGTTAGAAACCAAAATGCAACGGCAAGTCTTTTTTCTGTGGTCCTTGGGATTTGAACTCAGGGCCTGGTGCCTGCTAGGCAGCTTCTCTACCACTTGAGCCAGGCCCCGTGTCTTCTAATGACAAGTCTTAATAAGGAGAAAATAATAGAAGGTCAGAGAAGGAAACACTGTACAGAGAAAATTGATGAACATTGGGGTTATATTTTGTTGACTTAGAGATGCTAGGCAGAGATACACTGATTTTGGAATTAGAAGCAATCATTTAACCCTTTATACTTCTATTTTATATACTAAAAGTACAAATATGTATGTTTGCAAGATGATAAGAATGCCTACATTAAGTTATTAAATATATATATGTATATTTGTTATCACAGCATCACAGCCTTGTATTACAGTTATAATTAAAGTTAAAAGAAAGCATAATGATTGGTGACGTTGTATATGGCTGGTGTTTGATTTTTCAGGGCAAATGTTTTAGTCCATTTTCAGTTGCTGTAACAGAATATCTGAAACTGGGTTATTTATAAAGAATAAAGGTGGAAGCATTAGCAGCATGGTACAGCATCAGGTGTGTGCTTTCTTGCTGCATCACAATGTGGCTGCAAACATCCTGTGTGAGACCAAGCTGACTTGCTAGCTTGGGTCTTCCTCCATCTTTAGAAAGCCACTAGTGCCATCCTGGCAGCCCCATTCACCTCCCAATGGCCCCAACTACAAATGACATTAACATGATTTGGGGGATGAAATTTCCAAATCCAGAGGTTTAAGGGAACATTTTCAAAACACCATAATAGCAAAACTGTAAAAGGCTACTGGAGATGGGAAATTAAAGTAAAAAATTATATCAAGAACTTACTAAGAAGATAATGAGTTTAAGAAAAAAACACTTAGGGACACAGTATAAATCAGAAAGGAGCAAAAGGCTTTGATATTTTAAAAATAAGAAAAGAAAATCAGTGATCAGTTACTAAATAACTAAGAAACCAGCTGTTTACTTGACATAGGATGTAAATTCCTAATGCAGTGACCATGGACATGGAATAGGGATATGAGTGCCATTGGGCTCTCTGATAACCTCAGCCTCACTTTAGTTACTCCGAATGCTAGAAAATAATAAGTCATGATGCTTCACTTCCTACTTCTGTCACTGAACTCATGCCCTGCATCTTTATTCAGAGAGAAGTGACTCAAAGTAGAAAGACAGGAAAGGAAGCCCTGGGCCAGTTGCCCCCGTGGGCAGTCAGCTTCGGATCACATAGAATCCGCAGGCCGTGTCTGTGTGCTCACGAGTGTACAGTGATATGTGATGGAATGAGAGAGAGAGCTTGGGTATCTGAGCAAAAGCACTGTTTCCAGTAGCAGGTTAAATGTGTGCCTTCGACCTGAAATTGCAGCCACTTTCAAGACTGTGCATGATGGCAAATCCTGTTGTTCTGCCAAGTCAATAAGAGATAATTTATGGACAGTCCTGGTAGAAATCTGATAATTGTATCTCATTTTATCCAGGGCTCCCAAGGACCAGCTGGAGAGCCTGGTATTCAGGTAAGCTACTTAAGGAAGTTGCTCAGCATAGCAAATTTTACTTACTTATTTTGAGGAAATTACTGAAAGACTGTCCTCCTAAGCAACTATTTTTATTTTCTTCCTTTTCCAGGGTCCTCGAGGCCTCCCTGGGTTGCCAGGAACTCCAGGCTCCCCAGGAAATGATGTAAGGAACTTCTTTACCTTCTCCCACACCCCACCTCCATTTTAATGTGCATCTGTGCCAATTTGGAAAGGTTTGAACTTGATGCCTCTGTTTTCAGGGAGTCCCAGGGAGGGATGGAAAGCCAGGCCTGCCAGGCCCCCCAGGTGACCCGGTATGTAGATAGACTTTGCCTAATTTGTATATCTTTAGTGTACCCAGAAGCCAAACAGCCTATCAAGCAAATTTTGCTGTCCAAACTAATTAGAATGCTCAGTGACTGCTTGGTGATTTTGTTTATCCCCATTATTTTGTGGAGGGGACAAAATTCAAGCTGGGTCAGCATTTGTGTGTGTGTGATGAATACTTATTTCCTAAGGATATAATTCAGCTGTACAATTTTGCCCTAGGCTGAACCCTAACATACAATGTTTCATTCAGTTCCATAGAAAATCTAGATAAGATATATAACCACAATATCTATTCTTTCTAATGGTAGTGACTAAGTGAATTTCATTTTCTAAATGAAAGTTAGCAGGTAAGTTGCCCACAAGATGGGATGTGTCCATTGATTCTGTGGGTTTAAATTGCTGAGATGATAAAATTATGAAAACCGGCTTCAGTAGGCTCTTAGAAAATGGATTTATACACTAAACGTGTGTTTCAAAGTTTTATTTGAGGTTAAACCTTGCTTTGAGCAACAGTGAAATTCCTTTAAATAGCCTTAGACTCAGCAGTTATAATTTTGAGAGGCCATATGGTACATGACATTGTATTATGAATTTTGTATAGTGAAACCCAAATCTGGCCCCTTAGTTCTCAGCCCCACAAATCCCTTTCTACCTCCCACACTGCTTTGGCCTGTGTGCCTTTAAAAGTGACATACAGAGGCCTAAACTGTCCTCTAACTTCCCCTGAGTATGTCATGTGTGTATCATCTGCAAATCTTGGAAAATGTTACTTGGGTGTACAGATGTCTCTTGGAAAGTGCATTTTCAGATCTGTGGCCAAAGCACAGACAAAATTCACTAGGCATCTGTCTTGTCCACCACTTAAGCCAATCTGTGGCTTGTTTGCACTTACATGAGGACAAACTTCAAGACAAACTTATCCTGTACTCTTCATATTTCTCAACAGCCTGATAATGTGCTTGGCACAGGAGTGATTTTCTTTTAATGAGCAATTTATCCTTATATATTTCTTAAAAATAATATAGGGCAAACATAAAGGTCACCACATTGTGAAATTATAAAATAATGCTATAGAATCAAAGCAATGATATGTATGAGTTTGAGTGTTTGTGAAGGAAAGTGAACGTTTCTCAAAAGTGTTCTGGATTCTGTGAGTGCCGTGTGTTGGTTTCTTAACATGAAGCCCAGTGCTAAGCCAATAATAATAACAGTGAGAGTCTAGAAACTCCATGACAAAAATCTCAAGTGGCATGACATTTTGAAGAAACGCATGCAATTGTATTACATGTTCATAGCATATGGATTAGTGTAGTGCATATTCCCATGTTGCCTTTCTTCTTCCCTAACCACAGATTGCGCTTCCTCTCTTGGGAGATATTGGCGCCTTGTTCAAGGTATTCTGTTTATATGAGTGAAATTATAAGATAATATACAGGAAAAATAAGAAAGAAATTTTTAGCAGAAATTAAGTTAATTGCTTAGGCTGAACAACAGTTCCACTTTTATATGGCAAAATATCTTTAAGATAGAAAAAGTCATGTGTATCAATGTAACTTGTGCCATTTATACAAATCTCTCCACTCTCCTCTTTCTTAGTCTCTAATTTGGGGTCTGCAGGTGGGGAAGGATGGTTATGAGATGAGCCACAGGGAAAGAATAATATTTCTAACACCCTTGTGTAGATCCTGCTCTCCCCTGACCCACAGCTTTCTCCTAATGGTGGTTTACCCACCCTGGATTTCAGCTGAGAAACCTAATCCTCACTGTGTCTGCATTGTTTGGTCCCACAGTGAAAACCAGTACTGTTCAATAAGCAGCCAGCTTACAAGGCTGAGTTTATATGTCACAGAATTATACAAAATAAGCTATAAAATTTCAAAATCAGCACTTACCCTATTACCCTGTTAAATAAAAATTTACCTATCATCTATCTCATAAAGAATTAATCTTGCTACCATTTTTCTTTGCTAATACTTCTCTATATTTTGTCTATAAAAACAGAGTTTTTGATAAGATTGTAGCGTTCTGATAATGAGTCAGGTTGTATATATGCATGGTTCTGTGTGGTTTAATTTGATTAGTGAACCAGCCCTTTACTTATATTCACCCCTTGTATAGCTTATCTGTCTATGGATAAATAGAAAGTGTATGCATGTGTGTGTGCGTGCATATAGCTGTGTATATGTGATTTCACTTGTATTTGTAGTGTTTGGTCTTATCATTTGCACAATGACTTGTATGTAGGCATGTGGAAATGTTTATTAAATTTATCAAAAGACTCAAGAGTTCTAATGGATGTATTTGTTGGGTGATTAGAGATTTGAGAACAGATTTATGAACATAAAAATAAACATTTTAGAGGGGTTATTGAGACCTCCAAAAAGCAACAGTTTCTTGTAAGACAAAAAAGAACATTTGTGGGGTTTCAGGAAGATATTATATTGCTGAGTAAAAAACACATGTCAGTTATTGCACTGCTTTACTCATCTCACTCCATTTCATCTTCACCACAGTGCCATGAGTTCAGACTGTAGTAGCATTCTCCTCCTGTAGATGAGCAACCTGAAGTTCCAATAGTTAAGTAATTTGCTCAGTCACATAGGCAGTGAGTATTGCATTAATACAAGAATACAGGTCCTCAGATACTAAGTTGTAGTTTCTTTACAGGTCAGTAGTGTTAGAAATAGTAGGATTGTAGGAGCTACATCATTTCAGAATAGTAAGAATTCTCTAATGGTCAGAAACTTGTACACTTAAGCAGAAATAAATGTGCTGATAGAATATGGGATGCCTCATAGAACAGACAAAAAGTCTGTGAATAGGCTCTGATGAGAATGGGAAACAGGGCTTTTGGGATTCTCAGGAATGAAGTAATTGCAGTCTCACCAGGGCAGCATCCCTCTAAAGAATGCACCAGCATCATCTCACTAGAGTTCTGAGTCCCAAGAGAGCCAACTGATCAGAGGCAGGCAGGACCACCCAACTGATGTCCCAACAAACTGTATTCAATAGAAGAAGAAGGAACCAAATAGTTCCTCAAACTCAATCTAAAGACAAGGATTTAGTTTAGGGGTAGTTCTCTCAGTCCAATCTAATATAATGGTCAAGCCTGACCCTGTTATCCAAAAACCACTTTAACTCAACCTATCCACTTTGAATCATTAGCAAACTTGATAATCCTGCTTTCTGTCTTCAAAAATATTTTTGATTAAAGTATTGAAAAGAATTAGCCTAATTATAATGTCAAGTGGTACCCCCCTCATAGTCCTTCTTCTAGATTAATCTGTGCATTAATTCCTTTTTGAATGAGATTGTGCATTGGCTAATGGTTGATGTGTTTTTATCCTTTCCTCAAGAAAATCTTAAGTTACCTTTTCAAGAACTTTTATTAAACCTAGTTTCTCCTAATTTACCATTCTAATAAACCTTACCTAAAGAAAATCAGATCATTGCTAAATGATTCGTAGAATATTCTATTGATTCATGATTGCCATTTTTGTTTGTCTGATTGAGATAGGGTGTTCATATGTGGCCCAGGTTGACCTTAAACTTGAATTTGTGACCCTCCTGCCGCCACCCCCTCCACACACACAGTGCTGGCATTATAGGTATGCACCACCATTCCTAGCTCATGATTTCCATTTTTTAATATCTTACTAAAACAATCAATTGAACATTCATTCTAAAATGTTCCTGCAAATCAATATGCCATGGTTTTGCTCCAATTGATAACACCCTGCTTCCATGTGTAAAGACATAATTCATCTTTCTTATACTTTTTGAAGTTTGGAGACCTTTTTTGTTCTCTTAAGCCCTCAAGCATTCCTCCTTCTTGGTAGTGTTTCAGAGGTGGTCGGTGGTTCTGTAATTACATATGTGTTTTTTTAACTCTCCTACCAATACATAGCCACGTGAAATATACAGGTGGTAAAATTGGGAAACACTGCCCATAAGTCTGGCTCTCTTTTACACATTCAAACTCTAAGAAAAGATCATCATGAAGATAACTGTTTAATCCAGCATTATTGAGACAATTTGCCTCAGAACCTTCTCAATCTCATGAAACATTCATCTCCTAAGAAACATGTTTTTGGGAATCAGAATAATGCTGATATTCTTTGGGTCAAAAATATTGGCTGTGAATACCCTGGAGTTTTCTCGCCAACTTCTCATCCATGGCAAGTTTCAGTTCCCTTTTAATGTTTAAAGATACTTCCCATTATTGGAAAAGATGAATAAATAGAAACTTATATTATCTAACCTTCTGTTGACTGTTAAGCTGTCTTCCCCACTCAGTGGTCCTTACTCTATGCCTTTCCTAGTCATATTCTTATTCCCACAACTTATTTAAAAAGAAACCTTTGTAAGGGCTTTTCACAGATTTTTTTTCCATAGCTATGTGATAAGATTTATGTATATCTTATGAGCTCAGACACTCACATCCAAGCCTTTTGAGAGAAGCTGAAGGTAACAGAGAAGGCAATGGAAAGGTAATTCCACATAGATTTCCTATCTCTTCTTGTATTAGACATTGGGCCCAAGTTTAAGTCACTCAGGTACCTGTTCTTCTTCACATGAGTGCCTCCAATGACAAATAAGTATTAGTGAACTCTGTGGAGGCTTCTCAACTAACTTTGCTCCAAAGGGGATATATTTTTCCCCCCAGTTTTTGTCTTTCTTTGACTTTTACTGAGTTATGCTGTTGGTTTTATGAGCTTGGTAAACTTGCTGCTTATTCCAGAGTTTAATACTACCTCTCATTTTGAAAGTTGGTCTGTGTTCTTGAGCTATGGGGTTTTCCCTTATTTATTTGGAATCTTCCTTTTAAATATCATAGGTTTTTCAATAAAAGTTCAAAACAAAGATTTGCAAAAAAGTTTTGCCTCAAAAAGTAATATTTTCAAGTTGGAGAAATATGTTTAATTTCTACACTCATCTCTGGTGAAGGTTCAAATTGAACTTCAAATTGATTAAACCTCACTTTCATAACTGCTCTTATGAATCTCTCAGTAACCTTACTTTTTTGTACTCATTAGAACTTCTGTGGCAACTGCCAAGCCAATGTCCCTGGGCTAAAAAGCAACAAAGGGGATGAAGGAGGCGCTGGTGAGCCTGGAAAGTTTGATTCTGTAGTCAGGAAGGTAAGGAGGCTGACTGCATGTTTATGGGTCCTACAGAACACAGAGTGCCTTCTCTCAGTTCTGTCACTCATCTATCCCCTAGGGTGATATAGGGCCGCGGGGGCCTCCAGGAATCCCAGGCAGAGAGGGACCCAAGGTAAGAAAGTCCTCAATTTTGTATGAATAAAAGAAAACCCCATTTTAAAATAGAATATTAAAAAAAAATTATTTGGGGATAAAAGCCATTTGGGAAGTTTGCCCTTGATTTGTTCCCTAACCCTGTCCAAATTACATACCCCAAGTGGTCTGATAAAAGACTGTTTTTATTGTTTGAAAAAATAACAAAATGACTGAGTGCATATTGAACTCGCTGTCTTTTTAGGGAAGCAAAGGAGAGCAGGGCTACCCTGGAGTACCTGGGGAGAAAGGCGACGAGGTAAGAGATTCTGTTCTGAAGGAGTCCTGCTTTTGATTTTCTATACTTTTTCAACAGAAGAAAAACATTAGTTTTTCTGTAACTCATATTTAGTGCTTAAACCAATAAAAATAAACACTAGGTAGATCTCTTTTAATGTTATCATATTTTATATAATTAAACCATCATTTTCCTCACCAGTGGTCCAGATTTGGAGACAAGGAAAATAAGAAGGTATGAAGTTAACATATCAGTTATGGTGACAACTCTAGCTTGCTCACAATAAAAGTAAGGGGAAGGAGAAAGAGTAGAGTAAATTCACCAAACGAAATCCCAGGGTAACTAAGAGAATTGAAGGGATATTTGACCAATGAGCATAGGATTCCAGGCAACTCCAAAACTCAACAGAGCTTCCCTGGAATACTGCAGCAACCTGATTCAGCTTTAACAACCTTCACTTGTCTGTATCTCTGCTCATCTCCCAAAGTCTTGGGAGAAAAGGACCTGACGGGACTAGCTCAGACCAATGACTCACCCCTGGACTAAGGATCCAAGGCCAATTGCTTTTGAGATAATGATTGTAGTTTTCTGACTCTAAGCCACAGTGATGCTCAGGATATCATTCTTGTCCTGCATAAAGTCACATTAACTCTTAGAAAAACCAATTAGAAGGATGAATTGTTGTTAGTTTAAACAGTTTTGATACTAATAGTTCTTAATGAAAGTAAGTAAGCCATCTGGCATATTTTAACCTTGATGTTAGTGCAGAAAATTATGAAGGTAAAAAGTAGATTAACTTTTCTAGTTAGAGTTATATTTCACATTATAAATTATCATCATGTATTATTGTTTATAATTAATATTAATTGTGTTCTAGGAACCTTTAAAGTTTGGCTTGGGTATTTTTCCAAGATAAAAATTAAAGAATGAGAAATATAACATTTGTTTTCATCTATAAATAAAACATTAGCAACATTTTGCTCTCAAAATAAGTAAGAGTTAATGAGCTTTTCCTTTCTCAAGTACCACAGAAGGTTTCACTGAAGTACAAGCACAATAATGGATTTTAATAGTCCAACAGCCTTTAACTGCCTCGATTCAAGAGATAGCTTTAGAGGCAATTGAGAAGGTAATAACCAAAAGATCAGGAAATAATTGGAATTCAGGTTTTTTATAAGTAACTCTAAGTTAAATTCACTAGAAGATAATTTTTATGGATTCTGCAAGGTAGCTTGCTCTCTTGGTGAACTGAAATACGTTGTTAATATTCCTCCATTATTGTAGTATGCTCTTTCTTGGGTGCACCCTATGGATTCTCTGACACGGAATACACAAAATTTTGCACAGAACTCACTGTGTGGAGAGTCCCAGCAAGTTCAGGAGGTTCTTTTCCCTAGTTCTTCAAGTAATATGAACAAGCCTGGAATCACATTGACTTACTTGGACCTTTTTAGAGGAAGAGCGTAGTATAACTTTTGTCCCTCAGATCAGTAGTAGCAAACATAATCTCATCATATATGTGGACTCAGATACTACCTGAAATCGCAGCTTGTGAATTTAAGCAAATAAAACTTTGACCAAGTACATATGCATTTGCAACTGGCCGACAGACCGCATCATTTTAACATAGCTACATCATCTCTCATCTTACACACCTCAAATGTCTAGTTTTTATTTAGCAGAAAAGATACAGAGGCAGTCCGGCACCTTGAGGACTTCTGATTTTAGTATCTTCAATTTAATCTATTTCAAGATGTAGATGAGTTGCTTGTTTAGTTGTTGCTCTTAGAAAAGTAGCATCCATATTTTTTCACATGTTGCTATACAACTCAAGGCAGTAATTTGTAAGATGCTAATAGAACACAGATCCACCTCTCCTATTCAGAGATAATCTTGCTTGCAATGCAGGTCTTCCTACAATATTCCAGGATAATAATTGATAAACAAGATATGAAAAATATTGTCAGCCATAAATTATGACAATAGAAAAATAAATATTCTTAGCTAGTACTGGCAAAATCAAAATATCAAAGCAGGAAAGAACTTGACTCTAATAATCCCTGAATATATATGCAATGAATTCTAATTTGTATTTTAGTTTGGCACTACATGTTAAATTGACTTCCCTTTAATATGTATTTGTCTTCTTTAATGACCAGCTTGTCTTCTAAAATTATCTTACTGCCCTTTATTCATCTACAGTAACTTTACCCTTATTGCAAAATTTCAGCTTGTTCAGAGAAAGACTGTTGAGAATGATTTTTTTTTTATTTATGGACTGAGGTTTATTTTAAAGTTTAATGTGGTCATCAAAGGTTAATGAGTCCCATGCTTATAAATTAGACTACCTAAAAACTCACTCAGCATCTCTGGACTGACTCAGAGTTTAGACTAAAAGAAGAAAAAAAGAATACATATTTATATGCATATCTTATATGTGTGTATATAGAAGGAATTCTATGAAAATGTATTTCAAAATAAAATTTATGATATAACATATATAATTGCCAGTCATTGAGAAATACCATGTCCAATGGAAAATTTTTCCTTTCCACTTACAAAATTATAAACTCATAAAGTTAATGATGGGGAAATAAAAAGAACCAGTCCATTGCATAGGTGTGTATAGTCCACATGTGCATGCGCGCACACACACACACACACACACACACACGCCAATGAGAGTGGTATATATAATCGATACAATCTTGAATAAAGAATATGTCTACATTATTTAACACAAGCATACACAAGATTTTGTTCAAGATTTATTACATGAGGAATTCCAGCATGTTCAAGGAGAATCTTTCTGGATTTCCTTATAACTTATTGCATGAATAAACCTGAAGTAACATGTGATCTTCTTTGGCACTGGATGAGCAGACCAGCTGAGCTTGGCCCTTGATCCCATCCATGCAAAGAGCCTTGATCCAGCTTACAGATCTATAGAACTCTCCTGAATAAGTATGTGATAATTCATCACGATCACTTCATCTAATATTTACAATGTGTACAGAAATTCATATTTTATCACAGTAAGGAGAAAAAGAATTCTATTATAACAAAAATGTTTTTGGTGATTTAAAAAGAATAGTTTGCTCAATAAAGGAAATTAAATATTGAAAGAGTTGAATCATACAATCTACAAATTTTTTTTGTTATTGTTCTTTTGACACTGCTAGGGGTAGAATCTCAACCTTGGGAGTGCTAGGCACTTGCTCTACCACTGACCTACACCCCCCCCTTCATTCTAGAACTTGATGTCTTATATGCTTATCTGAACTCACTAAAGAATATTCAATTTTTTTCTGCTTATTGAGGTGATCAAATCTGTTAAAGAAAATTTGGGAAATACACAAAAATACCAAAAGAATAAATTTTATCTCTGTTCCTATTGCCCAGGGAGGACTGCTGGTAATAATAACATTACAGGCCACAGTCCCTCATCCGTGATCCTAAAACCCTGAAAACCATAGCAAAAATTGCCAAGTTTATTGCAAATTCATTTGGCATCAAATTCTAACCTGAACTCACATGGCTCTGGTATGTTTTTTCACTGTATTCTGATACAGTGATGTTTTGCTATAGGAATATTTGTGCTATAGGAATTATTAGAAAATGCTGCAGCAGGCATTCCTGGGAGTTTCATAATACTCGGAATGTTGCATCGTTGCCTTTTTAAGAAAAATCTGAAAATCAAAAATTCTGAAACATGCCTGATGCTGAAGTTTCCAGACAAAACATTTATCTATTTGCCACAATAAAATAATAAAAATCACTATCACTCTCATATTTTGGGAAATACATACATAATTCTTTAAACATTTGGACTATGTTATGAAATATTTATGACTTTTACTTTTCCATGCTATACAATAGTATTCAGAACCATGATTTTAATCATTGCAAAATGTTTCATATTTTGGATTTTGTGTAATTTTTTAACTAATATTCTGGTTTTTGTACACTTGGTGAAGGAACAAAATTAGTTACATAAATTACCTTTCAAATTCTTGCTGGATATTTGTAACTGTATCATTTTAAATCCACTCCAGTGTAATTAGCATCATTCTACAAACTCAAGGATGGGAGGGAGGGAAAATCCATTCATTTTTACATGTAAGCCATAAAAGGATTCCAAATTCAAATTCACCAATGAACCAAAATTCTTCTTATAATGAACTGACCAGCTATATGTGGATTGTATACACTAAAGCTGAATGAATGTAATCACCGATTTTCCTGAAATTTGTATTTCCATGCTTTGGCAGTATGGGATTCTCAGTGATGGTACTGGTAGTGGGGTGGCTCTGTAAGATCAGAAATGCTCTATAACTCACCAAATAGTTTAGGTTATGTTTGTTACGGATTCCACATCATAGCATTTCAGCTCATCATTCTTACTCTTTGAAAGTGGATATTTATATGTAACATGCGTCCTGTTTCTTAATTAGCTAAAATATGTTTGATTTTTCAATAATAAAAATATTTGATGAACTAAAACAAATATCTGTTCTCCATAACAGATTTTATGGTAGGAACTATCTTTTCTAGGGTCTTCAAGGAATTCCAGGTATTCCAGGTGCTCAAGGCCCAGCTGGGCCTCCTGTAAGTATTTGCTAAACTATTCTACTCACAACTCATATGCTAGAATGGTACACAGTGAATTAATAATCCTCACTGCCTTTTCTTCTCTGCACTTCTATGTTAATTGTCCAGCTATTGCCTAGAAAGGTCACCTCAAGCAAAGCTTTGGATTTTCACTTAGTATTACTTAAAGCTGGTTAGCATCCTGGAGACTTGTCCTCAGAATTGGGCCAAAGAGCAGTTTGTGATTAAGTTACTCCACTTGAAATAGAAATTAGACATGAAAGAGTGTTCTCTTTTTAGGGTTTTTTTTTTTTTTTTTTGGTATTAATATTGAAGAGATTCTCAGAGGGAAATACAAGCCAAGATTTTAATTTTTTAGAGGAAAAATGGGGCATTATCAGATTTAATTTAGTTTTATTCCTATATATGAACTTAAAACTGTTTTATTCATGGCTTTTGTTGCCCTGAAATCACACCATCATGGCCTTTGTGTTTTTGGTTATCCTATTATTTTTAAAGCAGAATCTCTTTTCTTTTCCTACCTGCCAAACCCAATCTTTTATTCAGAGTGCAATTCTAGAGTTCAGTTGCCAAATAAAAGATAGGACACATGTTTACACTTGAATTTCAGATAAATAAAGAAGTGTTTAGTATAAGTTTGTTTCAGATAGTGTATTTTATTTGCTAAATCTAGCCACCAAAGTCATGTCTCAACTTCTCTCTCTCTTCCTTTCTTAAAATTCCTGAACAGATAAAATCTTTTCCACACAAGTAGGAATGTAATCATATTTCTTAATGTTTAGAACTGTGGATTTACTATAATTAAAATTTTATCATGTACATTTTCACCACAGTATGTAGAGAAAACCTGGCTTAATACTGTACAGTAAAATGAAAAGTTACAGAAAAGAGTTGTGAAAAGAACTATGAAAATTATAACTAACTGTATTCTCAAAGAAGAATTAAAATTGAATTTTATTTTCCCTTGGAAAATACAGATCACAAAACTCAATGTTCACATTGTTAAGTCTGCTGTGTCTTAGGATATTTAAAATGTTGATCACAACCAAAATTATACCTCATTTAGAAAGGCATAATGTTATGTAAATTGCCACTTAAGTAGCAAGGCTAGATTCTTAAATGTATCAAAAGGTTCCAATTAAGGTCATTAAATGTAGTTGGCCAAGGTGAAAAAGCAACCACAAATACAAATTTTACCCTTCCAAGGGCTTATCAGCAGGATACAGCTGCTGTATTAGCACCAAGCAATATAAGCTTATAAACTGATTTAATTAGGATCAAATGACCTTCAAAATGTGTAAGTTTTAGCAATCAAATTCCAATACCCTTTGGATATTTAGTTGTTTTTTTAAACAAACTTAGTTTTCTTTTTTACAGGGTTTAGTGGGAAGAACTGGACATCCTGGTCCTGCTGGAGCAAAAGGTGACAAGGTATGAAGAAAAAGCCTCAGTTGCCATTCCAATTGGGGTTTGGGTTAGGGGCAGGGCGAGACCATTTACTGAGAGATTCATAAAATCAGGAAAAGTCTGAAAGTAGAAGTGATATCAGTAAGTGACTTTTTTTTTTTTTTTTGAGTCAGGGTCCAGAATGGCCTTGAATTTGAGAGCCTCCCAAGTGCTGGGATTACTGGTGTGTACCACCACACCTGGCTTCAGGAAGTGGCTTGGAAGGATGTAGGTCTAAAATTGGTCTGAATACAAGAGATATGTTCCTAGGGGAAAGGATGAATAGAACATTGGTGCCATATAGCAAAAGCTCCAGTTGGATTCAAAGACCTGGGCATCCATCTATATGGAAGGATAAGGGGGAAAGCCTCCTAAGGACATGCCAGTAAGGTGGTTTGTATGAGGGAGTTCTAACCACAAGCACTGATCAGGCTTCCATAACAGAGTACTATAAACTAGGTGGCTGGTAAACATCTATTTCTCACAGTTCCAGAAACTGAAAAATCCAAATCAAGATGCTGGATGATGTGGTGTCTTGTTCATAGGTGACACCTCCTGGCTATGTCCTCGCATAGTTCAGGCACAGCCAAGCTCTTTTATAAGGGCACTAATCATGAAGGTTCCATCCTTGCGACCTAATCACCTCCCATACATCACTGTATAAGTTAGGATTCATCTTATGAATTTTGGGGCAGAACACAAACATTTAGACCATATCAAGTGTCATGGCTCCAGACACCTTGCTGGCTATCAGGGCAAGGAAAAATAACCAAAGGTCTTGCTGAGACAATTAGGAAGTTATGTTCCTGGAAGGTCATAGGTCACTAAGGAACATGTTTCCTTGGGAGACCAATATTTGGACAAAGTGTTGCTGCTATAGTCAGAAGAGAGGACTAACAACAGAGGAATATCAGGCAGTATCTAAATGTAGGATCTATGTTCTCCCACACATGTGGACTTTAGATCTAGGGCAAATGCAGCACTGTGTTTGGACTTGGATCACATGACAAGGGGAGAGCACATATGGGAGATATAGGAATAGGTAGAAAACCCAAAACATGAAAGTGTTTGATGTCCCCACTCCAGAGGAGCTAATACAGAAACCTTAAAGAGACAGAGGTCAACATGAGAAGGGGATCAGGAACCAATGTAAAGATCAGTTAGAGATGAATCAACATGGGTTGTAACGCATTTGTACATGGAAGCAATGCTAGGAATCTCTCTGTATAGCCATCCTTAACTCAACTAGCAAAAATGCTTTGCCTTCCTTATTATGCTTATGTCTTCTCTTCAACAAAATTAGAAATAAGGGCAGAACAGTTTCTGCCTGGAAGTGGGGGGGAGGAGAGAAAATGGGGGAGAGGGGGCAGGGGGGAGAAATGACCCAAACAATGTATGCACATGTGAATAAATGAATAATAAAATTTTTTTTAAATAAACAATAAACGTAGTATCTAAATTGGCCCTACAATGTTAGCTCAGGCAAAGCCAGAAAGCAAGTGAAATACTCATACCTATTCAGATTAGGGAAAGAAGAACCCACGGTCCACATGAGCCACTTAAAGTATCTTCCACCCACTTGTCAAGATACAAGTTCCCTAAACAAAATGGTGCGTGGTGGCATCAAGAACCAAAAAAAAAAAAAAAAAAAATCCCAACAGAATATAAAGGGAACAAAGAATGTGCTTATTCTAGAGAGTCTCAACACATTTTTTCTGGTAATAGCACAAGGAGCTTGCCTGACTCCACCAGCCTTTTTCCTCTCTGGTCCATGGAAATGTTTCAGTCATAGACTTGCCTTTGAAGCTAATAGGAATTCCACACTGTGATGAGCTTGGGAGCACAAGTGACAATGAAAATATGACTTTTCATGTGCCATGGGCAAAAAGAAGTCTTTTCAATGGGCACATCTTGTTTGTTGACTCATGAGAACTATGACATAATTCTCTGAAGGACAGTGCCGGCAGTCAGCAGAATAGGACATGTCTTAGGGAGACAGCAGCCATCAAAGCAGTTTGGGGAAAGATACAGCATCCTTGTTTTCTTGTCACACACCCTCAGGCAGAATCATTGCATGAAAAATCTTTACAGTTTATTTTTTACTATGGTGCTTTCTTTTGTTACTAGAAAATGGGTGAGTACTGAAATGAAAACCTTAATTAAATTTTGAAAATGATTGACAACCCTCGAAATTCTTCTATTTCACTCCCCCAGATTCCTTTTTTAATCAGCCATTTCTTGCCATTGCCTCTGAAAGAGAGTGACTTAAAAGATTTTATAAGGCTATTATTCTAAAAGCAATGCATAGTTATAGGACCAACTGGTAAAAGACCCAAAGGACTACAATCTGCTTAATTATGGACTGGTAAGTATTCCAGTCCATAATTCCAGATGTGGAATTATGATTCCATGACTTGTAAAATTAAAAGTCAAATAAAATTTTCAGGTTTCAACTTGAATTCATTTTTTAAAACACTCCATTTTCAGTTTGCTTCTCCTAAAGTAGAAATCTATAGCTATTTAAATTGTTTAAACCAGTTCCCTTGGACAGTGTTAAACTATAGTCACTTCTGTTCAGCAGGATATGTCTAACTTGGTTAAAAAGTCTGCTGTTAACCTAGGAAATGGAAGAAGTTTTTCCTGCATACACAACATGGGTTGTGACTTTATACTTTGGTCAAATTATGTGGATATTGCCCCTGGTTCCCAAAAGATAAAAGTGGAGGAGGTGAAGCTAAAAGTGAGGCCTGATCCAGATAGCCACATTCCCAGAGCCCACCACCTGCTCAGATGACCTCTGCCCTGTACCCTCATGCGTGCACAGGAGGAGAAAGGCCAGGACAGAATCACCTGGCTTGTCTAGGCACATTTAAAATAAGCTTTGTCCTCTAGAGCTCACATAATGAGAATCTGGATGGTGTCAGGAAAGGCATTCACCTTTCCTGGGCTACAGAAACATACTTTTCTGGGTTAAGGGGAAAGCCAAGCAGATTAAGACTCTGAAAGACTGACACAAAACAGTGGGCCATTTTGACTTCAGAAGATGGCTCTCTGGCAAGCACAATCTGGTTCATGAACCTCTGGTAGAAAGGTCTCAGCCCTTCATTCTTTTGGCCTATGTATCCTTTCAGGGCAGCGAGGGACAACCTGGGAAACCTGGACCACCCGGACCACCTGTGAGTTGTTTCAGGTTTCAAACTTAACATCCATGTGTTTATTTATGATTTCTATTACTCAGCTGTCAGATCACATTTAGATAGTCTCAAAGATGTCTTCTGAGATAAATATATATAATGTCTATTTTTATACAAAGTACATTTTATAGATATAAATGTATATGATATGTGTAATATACATGTAGATTATATATATATATATAAGATATATTAGAGAGAGAGATCAATACATACAGATATAAATAACCATCATTGCAGCATTGGGGAGACCTAATTTGTTCCCACTCTGGCTCAGCCCCAGTCCACACTGCTCAGATTTGTGTACCTGAGCCTTCTAGCATGGACTTGGGATTCTTGAGTGTGTACTCTGACTCTTCCTGTCTTTCAGGCAGGAAGTGCTTTCACATAAAGGGTTTTTTAAGAGATCCTTTCTAGCAATGAAAGTTAGTTAAAAAAAAAAAAGGTATTATGTTATACGTGTTCATTCCCATCCATGATGTGTGAGATGCAAGGAAACTCAGTTTCTACAGCACCTAGTGAACAAAATGTACAAGAGCCATCGAAGTTTTCATGCTGGTGATTGAGATAGATGCACTCTGTCAGGGAGGCTGTGGAGAAGAGAGTTGCTGCTCTCTGTGGCAAGTGTGCCCTCATGTGGGTCCAGGCTCAAAATGCAGCAGAGCTGAAATTGCTCAGGAATTTAAAAAGTCAAGCTTACTAGAGAAAGGGCAGTATCCAACTGTAGCTTTCGGAAAGCAGCAGGCATATGTCACTAGTCTGTATGCACTTGCACACTTTGCACACAAATGACAAGATCAGCACTGTTTACCTAAACCTGTTCTTTATCTGTTACCTCCTGTCCTGACAAGCAACCAAGGCAGAAAGTACTTGTGGTTCAAATTCTAAAATATGCTCCCCTACCCAGAGGAAGAATAGCAAATCACCACGAACTCATGAAAGGGCATATGACTTTATAACAGGCTTAAGAAATGTTCCTTTTTCCTCTTTATTCTCCAAAATAATTCAAGTTTCTCTGGAAAACTTCTTCTGACAGAAGTATCCTTCTGTCTATTCAGGACTTAGAATACTAAAATATAGCACATTTTAAGTAATTGCCAAATGAATGGAGAAATAATAGAATAAGTGGATAGAGCATTTTCTTTCATTGCTATTGTTTTGAAGACGCATGCAAACAGTATTCACCAAGCACCACTCCCACCATTATCCCAGAACAATGAAGTAGTGGCTTCTTCAATTTTGCAACTGAAATGTGAAAAACTATGTAAAGGAAAATGCAATTTGACTTTTCATTCTGAGGATCATTTATCTTTTTTAACATTTTCCAAACTAAAATATTCGTATACAGTTTTTTCTTAAATGCTAAAATGTATGCTTTTTTAAAACTGTAGAATGAATTCCTTCTGAAGTATCGATTACTCGTGGACTTTCTATTCATGTGTCTGGGGTTTTTTTTAGGAAATCAGCGGTCCTCATTGTTCTAAACATGCTTTTGGTAGAAACATCCACACAGGACTATGAATAAAGTCATCTTCCCACTTACCTTAATTTTCTATTTGGTATGAAGAGGCTGTGGAAAAACACTACTTTCCAGTGGCCACATTGCTCTCTATTCACATCTCCATCAGCACTACCACAGTGTTGCCTGCAGGCAGACAATGAACAGTTAGTATAAACTGGCAATTCAGAAACTGAATTTTAATGAGCAAATACTATTTTCCTCTGAATGCATTGATATCTCATCTGTCAAACCTGAACATTATTCAAACCCCCAACTGAAAGCATCCATGTACTGCAGGTGAAGCTCCCACTCTTTCATTTCCTTCCCTACATTTGGTTTGAGGAACTTAAGAGTGGAAACATGGTATTATTTTACTTATAATATTAAACCCACTTTAAAAGCAGAACAGGAAAACTTTTTTAAAATAATAGAGTATGAATAATGCTATTCGATACGATGATTAAAGATGGAAATGCTAAGTATTAGAGTAATTTTGCGTCTCATTTCTTTCCTAAGGGTGTACTATTCAATGAAGGAAATGGCATGAGCAGTTTATATAAAATCCAGGTATTTACATTTGCAATTATTTAAAATCACTTTCCACTTAGAAGTTGCTATAAATTCTTCTCATCTTTTTTTCTTTTTCTGAAGGGAGGTGTGAGTGTCCCCACTTACCCAGGACCACCTGGTCCCCCTGTAAGTATAGCCATTTATCAACAAGCACAGTTTGATGGGGTGGGGTACTCCTCAGCTCACGGAAAAGTTCACATTTCAAATATGACCTAATTTTAAGTAAAAACAATCATAAGATTTAAAAAATGTACACAGCTAAAATAATGGAAATTACCATTTAGCATATTTCACTTTTCATTGTAAATCTAAGAACTAAATCAATGTCCAAACAATCATTTTCACGGGAATCACATCACATTATGTTTCATAATTTTTTGTTCAAATCCAAACTGTAGCAAAAGCAAAACTTGCAACTATTCCTACATGCATATAAGCAAACTGGACAAAAATGCTTCATGTTCTATAATTTTGCTTTAGTCATTATTTAAAAATGTTTTTCCATATTTTCTTCTAGGGTCCAAAAGGTGATCCTGGCCCAGTGGTATGTATGTTCCCATGTTTTTGTGTCATTTACAAAATAGGTCTTTAACATTTGAAAGACAGGCATCAGGCAGAGATGGCCTGCTTTCTTTGGTGTTCATCAGCAAACATGTCAGTGAACAAGCCAGCACCTGAAGAAATGCTGGCAGTGTGCTCTTTATTTTTAAGACGTGTTAGTCCTACATTGTCACTGCCTTTGAGGTTCGTTTCCTTCCACCGGTGTGTTTTAAAAACCATCCTGTGATGTAGGAAGGCACATACAAAGCGCTTGATAAATGGAACACTTTCTTGATGTTCTTTTGATGATATATTCGATTTTAAGTAGATCATGGAAGAGAAATACTTATGGAAGAGAAATTCCTTAATATGTCTGACATATCACCAACAAAAAAGAAGGAAGGGACTGTTCATTTGCTTTGAATGTCTTGGGCAATTATCCTGTAAGGAAGATGTACTGTCAGAAACCCACTCATTAGGTGGAATGTGTCCAGAGGTTAACACAGCCAGGAAGGAGCCCGTGTCCTTCAGCTACAAAAGGATGAAAATTGTTGTCAGCATCTTTCTCAACCATGAAGTCTCACTGCAGACGTTCTGCCAAATTCAATCAGACTTCCTTGAATCCTTGGCGTTTCTTCCCATCATGTCCTTTTCAAGCATATGTTCCATCCTTCATGTTCCATCTGTATATCCTTTTAACCTTTGTGCATAAACTTGAAATGCAGATGTACCTAAAGCTAAAATAAACTTTCAACCCACTTTCTACTGACCATGTGAAAAAATGTAAAGTCCTTTTATTATGGTAGAGGACCCTATGGACAAATATTAAACAAGCAAAAGAACAAATCATAAAAAGTGTAATTTGGTATGTAATATATTTCCAAAGGAGATGTGTTACAGAGCCTTTTTTGTTATTGGGAAGTATATATTACAATACAATTTGCTTTTCCCCTAAAGCATTATTTCAACTTCTTAGTACTATCTTCTGAACCCCAGTTATGTAGTGTAGAGGTTTCCTTTGTTTTGCTACTTACGCCATCCTTTCCTTGTAACTGTTCTTCATGCTATACCTACTGTATCATTCATTCACATACTAATTTTTTCACCATGTTGACAAAATTTCTTCCTGGTCTTTCCCACTCAAACCCACACAGAGCAGCTACTCTGAGTCATGTAGGTGCACCTAGACTTCTCACTCACTGTTCTGGAGCATTCTTTCAAGTTCTTACATTAATAATTGCACATCAAGGTGAGAGTTAAGTAGTCTAAAAAGGTAAATGACATTCACTTGTACTAGAAAGCAGCTGGCAACAAAAATGAGGACATGTTTGAGTAGAATTTGAAGAGACTATGCCTCAGATTTCTAGCTGCAAAAAAGGAGAAAAAATAAAAACTAATTGAAGAGTGTTCCCTGCTTTTAGAGATGTGAATTAAGTGAATGAACACAAAAACAGAAATAGAAAACCATGAAATCAAATCCTGTGTAAACCTTCAGACTTCTCCTAGAGAAAAAGTAAAATTACTCTTCTGGATCCTATTTCTGCACCACCATGCAACTCCATCATCCCCCACCATTTGTCTTATTTGAAGAAAACTGTACCTCATGCCAAAGAAGCCAGAACGGGAGAATTACAGATCACAGAGTAGAAAATTGAAAAGCCATCGTGAGGTGGACAGGGAGAAGTATACTCTTCCAATATCCTTCAAGTCCCATGGTGGACAGCTTTGTCAGTTTCATCACTGTGACAAAACACATGAGATAAACAACTTGAGGAGAGATTTATTTTGGCTCAGTTACACAGGTTTCAGTCTATGATCAGCAGTTGGGGTCTGTCACTATGTTGGGGTCTACAGTGAGGCAGAACATCAGGTCAGGGAGCACTTGATGCAACAAAATACTCACCTCATGGTGGCCAGAAGCAAAGAGAGTTTGCTTTTATAACTCAGTCCCTCTTCCAGCCCCTGCTAAAGTACTAATCCATAATGAATTAACTCACTAATGAGGTCAAGGCCCTCATGGTCCAATTAACTCCCAAAGTAGCATCCTCTGGATGCTACTGCCAAGTCTTAAATATATGAAATTGTGGGGGACATTTAAGACCCAAGCCATACATACAGTACTATGCACCACTATTTCCAATCTGCTCAGTTACCTTTATAGGGAAAAATTGCCCTTAATTGAATTTATTATCTTTTGAGGCAAACCATTTTATTAGTTTGGTATTCAGTATATAAGTGATTTTTAATTAAATATTTAATTATTAGCTACTCTCAAATAGTTTGCTTGATTAAGCACCTCTTCTATCCTAAGTACTGTTGAGAATATAAACAAAGAATCAAAGTGTGTATTTCACTTGTTAACACCACAGGGTCTCCTTACCAAGCCTTAAGGAGAATAGAATCTGAACATCTTTTAATTTTTTATGACTGACAGGTTACATAGTAGTGGGCAATTAAAAAGATTTCTGAAACATATAAAGTACCAAGTCATATGCTCACTAGTAAGTAGTCTATACTAAAGACATAAAAAATAATGGCAGTTAGAACTTTGGTAATATTTTTGAAGCAGACTAGAATTACATGTATAAAAATTTATACTTATGGAACACAATTTGAAAGCTTGCTTTTCTGTGTGATTATGTTTATAGCATCTAGTATCCTGAGAAAATACTTGCAATTAACAGTCATTTGTCAAGAAGAAAGTATCAAACAGCTCCCCACATTCCCTCTTTCTTGGTATTTGTTCAGGGAGCAGCTTCTTTTACCACAGGTTTTTCAAATGTTCCTCCATGAGGAACTTACTATCGGACACGTAAAGTATTTTTTAATGAAAAATGCTTGCCCATCCCCTTTTAATGACCCATCGGGTTGAGCAACAACTTGGAACTGTCGGAGATGCTGCTCCCAGGATCATCCTCTTAAGCATTTACAATTCATGTTCAGCTATGGACCAACTTAAAAATGATAAACTCTGCTTTGAGATCCGCCCTAAAGAGTTAAATCTTATTCTCTAGTAATCTTCCAGCCCTGGGTACCTCCCAATTAGCAAGCAAATTTCATTAAACTCCAGCCTTTCATTTTAATTTTTATTGAAATTGGGGTTATTAGTGACTATAGAGATACATCTGATTTTATTCTTAGAGTGAAAATATTGAGAAAATATACTCCTACCTCTCTGAAGAATAGCTTTTATTCTTGAACTGTTTTCATGTATCAAACACAGTAATACATTGTTTGAAAATAGAGCATACAATTTACTTGCTAAATTGCAAGTCAATGTTTTAGGTTAGAGGTAGGCAATATGAGAAGGAATTAGGCAAAAAAAAAATCTTTGAAAGCATTGCTTAAAACCCTTTTGATCATTGTTCTTGCATTTTTTATGTTCATATTTAACAGGGAGAGCCTGGTGCGATGGGGCTGCCAGGACTTGAAGGATTTCCAGGTGTAAAGGTAAGTGCAGAGTTTAGAAATGTATTCATTCAACATTAAAAAATGTATATTGAGTACCTAGCATTGTGCCAGGAACTGTTATAGGTTTGGGGAAACATAGGAAAACAAAACAGATGAAAAACTATTCCATTGAAACAGTTGTGTATCCAAGGGGATACAGAAGTGAAGAAAGTAAATATAAATAAAACAATAAAATAAATGTTCTTGGTAAGTGCTATGGAAAGAAAGAGAAAGTACAGCAGGTAAAGGGATCAGGAGTGCTTGGGAGGTGGGATTCATGGGGTCTGGGAAACAACTTGAAGGAGATGAGAGAGTCAGCCAAGTTTGAAAAAAGAATGTTCCAGGAAAAGGAAACAGCAAGTGTAAAGGCTTTGAGAAATAAGACTTCCTGTCACATACAAGGAAATCAGGGGCGTGAGGGAGGGAGAGACAGGGAATTGGAGATGAGGTCACAGAAGTAGGGTCAGAGGTAAGACTGGAGTCATCTTGAGAGCTGTGCTACTCAAAGCGTGGCCAGTGCTGGTCTGCAAAAACTTTGTGATACATTCAGTGGCAAGGATTGGTACAGAGACTGAGAATAAGCCTCTAAAACTTGCTCAGTAATTTGTCTAAAATTATCTCGCAAAGATGTTATTAGTAGATTTATCTTGGTTCAAGACGTATCAGAAAATAAGTAAGTAAATAAACTGCTGCTTCAAAACAGGTTGTTTGAGAAGCACTAATAAAGAAACTCATCATCCATTGTAAGAAATTTATCTTTTACTCTGAGTAAAATGCAGGGCCATTGGTGGCTTCTAATGACAAAGCCTGCAGTTGGAGGGCACCAGCAGAAGCAGAGAAGCCAATTAGAAGTCTATTGTAGCTTTCCATTACTGTAACATATACCCAAACTAATCAGCCTATAGAGAAAAAGTTTATTTTGCTCACATAAGCCTTTGAGCCTATAGTTTGAGTCCATGCTCAGTCAGCCTGTTGCTTTGTCGCCTGATAATAGATACATGATGGCAGGGATATATAGTGGCTGAGAAACAGAGAGAGACAAGAAGGGCTTGGGTCCCAGTCTCCCCTTCAAGGGCATACCCTGCATGACCTAACTTCCTTCCACTAGGCCCCACCTACTAAAGGTCCCAGTACTTTCCAATGGTGCCACACTTAAGCCTTTGGGGGACTTTCAAGATTCAAGCTATAGCACAAACCATTCCAATAATCCAGATGGGAGTTGATATTGACTCAGATCAGAGCAGAAGCAGGGGAAGTACTGAGAACTGGGTGGATTCTAGATATATTTTGAAAAAAGAGCCAGCGGGGATTTCTGATTGATTGGATGTGGGTAGGAGCAAATAAAGAGGCATCAAGGAAGACAGTAGGCTTAGTGGCCTGAGAAACATAGGTGAGTTGAAATGAGAAAGAGTATAACCAGAGCATATTTGGAGAGGTGAGGATGATGGGGAGTTTAACTTGAACATGAGGCCAAATTTGGAAATTTCTATTAAGCAGCAAAGTGGAGGTACCAAATAGTCAGTGTAATACAAAAGTATGGAGTTTGGAAAAGAAGTAGTAAAGATATAAATTTGGCTTTTCTAAGCATATAATGCTATCTCAAAGCCAGGAGACTAAATAAAATCACTGAGAGAATGACAGTAGACTTTAAAATGAGAAGGGGATCAAGGATTGAACCCTGAAGCCCTCCATTAAGAGATCAAAAAGAAAAGGAAGAATGAGGAAGGGAGAAGCAATTTTTGGACTTTGATGTATTTAAGAGAGAATGAGAAGGGCTGGGGCTGTGGGTCACTGCCACCTATAGAGTGCTTGCCTAGCAAGCACAAGGGCCTGAATTCAAACTCCATGGCTACAAAAAAAGAAAGAATGAGATTAAAATAGAGACAGTAAGTGTGATATAAATGAGCTCAAGGCGTTTCTCTGCAAAGGAAAGTAAAGAAATGGGCCAGAGAATGCTAGAGGAAGTAAGGTCAGATTTTATAAGATGGATTTTTAAGGCCATAGCAATACCAGAATATTTGTTTGCCAAAGGAATGATCCAGTAGGAAGGGAGAGGATGGTGATGAAGATATAGGGGAGACAAGTAGGGGAATGAATATTGCTGGAATAATGTCTTTTAAATAGTTAAGAAGGAAGGGAAGGTTTTAAGCAACATATTAGGAACAGGTGTGAAAGGAGAGCATGGGTGGGCAGGTGGGAAGATATACTGGACTCTATGAAAGCTATTTTAATTTTACTTTTTTTTTTTTTGGAAGTACTGGGGTTTGAACTCAGAGCTTCATGCTTGTGAGACAGGTGCCGTACCATTGAGCCACTCAGCTCGCTACAAGCTCTTTTCTCATTGCTTGAGTTTTCTAATGTGGAAGAAGCAAGATCATTATGTAAGAATGAGGTAGAAAAAAAAGTGGCTGGAGATGAAGGGAGAAGGACTTCTAAGATAGAGCGAGCGCTGGAGCCACAGGAGTGCGATGGCATAGCTGACCTAAGGCCCTCTTGAGGCTCACGGTCATGAACTGAAGTCAGGCCAGTCATCAAAAGCATGTGTCTCTCCAGCCACGTACAGACTTTTAGGCAAAGGCACAGAATAGTAGTGGAGTTGGATTTAATCATATCCTAGTTTGGACAAGTGAGTGCTAAAAGCAAAAATAGAGCAAGAGAGTTAACACTATCAACAAGGAAAAGATTATAACAGATGACCATGAAACTTAAACTAGACAAAAAAGAGAGACAGGCCACACACAGAGGAAGGGACATTAAAATATTTGTACTATCAATGGGTTAGAGTTCTTGGAATTCAAGGTATTTGAAGGAGTGAGTCATGATGGGAAATGGTGGTCCAAGGGTGGAACGTATGGAATTGAGGGTATGGGGGAGTACAGATATTTTTATTGACAAGGTTGTGGTTGTAACTATGGGAACATGAGGCAAAAATCATTAGAGAAGATTAGAGGAGAGTTGTTGAAGGAAATGAGAGACCCTGGACGTTGGAAGTTCTCCTAACATTAATCTTCATCAGGCATGTACATCTTTCTACTGAACGAAAACTTCCAGAGTATTCAAGGATGAAAATCCTGTAATTTAATAGGAAAGGAGAGAAACTGATGCGAGTTACCTATTTATATCCTTTGCCTAGTTTTCTTTTTAAATTTTTAGTTGATCCATAATAACTGTACATTTTTAGGGGTACAAAATGATGTTTCCATGATACATACGATGTATGATGAACAAATTGGGATTATCATGTCATCACTTCAAACATGTATCATTTCCTTGTGGTAAGGACATTCAGAATCTACTCTTCTAGCTATTTTGAAGTGAATAGCACGTTACGGTTAACCCTGGTCACCCTCATGTACAATAGAATGCCAGAACTCATTCCTCCGATCTAGTTGTAACTCTGTATTCATTGACCAGCCTCTCCCTAGTCCTCCCTCATCTCTACACCCCTTGGTCCCTGGTAGCCACTGTTCCATTATCTACTTCTACACAACCTTGTTTTTTAGATGCATAAGACCATGCCATATTTTTCTGTTAGTTTCCACAGTGACTATGCTTTATATGTTGAAGATACTGCCTCTATCTATATGCTGGTGTTGTTATCCTAGCTGGTCTTTGCCTTTCAATTTTATGTTTTAATCTTACTGTAAATATAAATTTAAGGTAGTCAAATCTAAAAGTTTTTCTTTTCGATTTCTTGTTTTGCTTTTATACATGAAATATTTACTTTGATTTTCAACCCAAGATAACATTCTTCTAGCAATTTATAATTCATATTAGTTTGTGTTTATAGAAATCTGTGTTGAATTTGCATGGTATATGATATAAAGAAAGGAATCAAACTTTTTTTCAAACAAATTATTCAATTATTAGCCTATTTATTGAATAATACATCTCTTTCTTTACTAGAATCCTATTGTAAATGCTGGTTTATTTCTGAGATTTATATTGTATTGACATTCTGCCAGTATTCCTTCATTTCATTTATTATAGCTTTATTACATGTTTAAATATTGGTATGACTAGTATATGTTATTCTTGTTTTCTTTTATCCTTTAATTATCTCAAGTGACCTTTAATATCTTTTGATCAAATGCAATTTTGTAACAATTGCATTAAATTCATAAATTTATAAATTCATAATTCATAAATGTATAAAAGAATTCATAAATTCATAAATTAGTTTGGGTAACAATGACACCTTTATAACATTGTCTTATCCTTTAGGAACAAAGCATATCTTTTTCATCTAATCAAGTCTTCTTTTATATCCCTAACTGAAGTTATGAAGGTTTTTTCAATGTAGGTTCTAATGAAATTGCCATTTTATTATCCCATATATAATCATTAGTATTTTTAGTATTGTCAGCTTTATCTGAAATACTACATTGCCTTTTTAAAAGAAATTGAGTCACTCTATTTTTCAGAGCAGTTAATGACATTTTTCTGATTGGCCAAATGAGAAAAACTACAAATCTTTAGTCCTAAATATTTTTATTCTAACTCCATATCCAAGAGACAAGTATAGAAACAATTTTTAGAAGACACTCGGTCTCAATCAGCTCAATCTTTCAAGCCATGGTTTTTTACTATGCATGGAATAAAATTACTGACTAATTTTATCTGTATGTATGAAATCCTATTAAAAATAGATCACAAAAATAACATGAATGGTTTTTTTTATTAAGACTATTATTTACTTTGGTTTTATGGAGAAAAAGAAGCTATAACTGGTCAATTTTGTACTTACTTTATTATTTTCCTGTGTACTCTCTACCTTCATACCAGCTAATATTGATAGTATTTATCAGTTTCAAACAAAAGCTTTACCAAATCCAAATTATTATTTGGGCATTAACTATATACATAAACATTTTATAGATGTCATTATAAGTGGCCATTTTAATTTTAATCCCAACAGGGAGATCGAGGCCCAGCAGGTCCCCCAGGAGTAGCCGGGATGGCGGTGAGTTCTTATTATCTCACATTATTTTGCAGGTAAATGTTTCCATCTCCACAATAAATAAACCTGTGGCCAATGATCAAGAAGGAATGGGGCACACACCATAACTCCAGAGGCATCAGTTTCCAGTTCAGAAGCTAAAGCCACCTATCCCTCTATCAATTCAAGAATGCTGTGTTCTTTATTTTCACTTTTTTCTTATTTTTTTTTTTTTACTTCCCAAGGAACTTTGAAGGGGGAGGAGGAAAATTCCGGTTACTTATGACTGCACATTAATGTATATGCACAGCTCCAAAAACTTGTTTTGTTTTGTTTCTCTATTCTTGTCATATTTCAGGGTTTCTTGGTTTTTAAAAGGCAGTGTTCTCATCCCCAGGATGTACTTCAGGTTCCTCATAGGAAGCTGCAATCTGCCCAAGTTATCCCTTAGCCCTGGGTTATTAGCTGAGTTTTATTGCTGCTGATGGAGCCTTGTAAACTAGCCCTTAGATCCTCTCAATCATTTTTGTTGCTCTCTGGTGTCAAATGTTTTAATCTCATCAAGGTCTTTTCAAATGAATAGGAAGTGCTCCAGGAAAGGTTGAAATCATTTTCTTGAGCCCTAAGGATGACTCTGATCTTCATTCATGATGTTCTAATTAAAATTTTGTGGTCACACTTTATGAATAAGAGGCCATTTATCCTCTTGCTAGGTGCCCCTGCAGGGCAGGTCTAGGATGACATTTCAGGAAAGTCATGTGCTTGGATCACAGGAACGAAGATAAGAAAGGGTCCTACTATCACCCTACGGTACATCGGCTGACACCTGATGCCACCTAGCACCTCCCCCCACCACCCCTAGCCCCCAACCATCACCCACTGCCATCTCCCACTCCCTTCATCTTTGAGAAGGCATTAGCCACTCTATATCATTCCAATTAACTGCTGAGTCAAATAACAAAAGTTGAAACCCCATCTATAATCTATATCCTTTACTGAGAATGCCATCCTTTATTTAACTTGTTCAGATCTAGATAAATATTTGTATGATTATAAAAGTGAAAATGTAAATATTTTCTTTAGCAAGCTCTCCAGAATTTTTTTAAATAAAAGGTGGATTCTTCTTGAAAGTAGATACACATTCAATTGCATTCTCTCTCCTCCTGTACTCACTAGCATTCCTAGGAACATATTTGGGACTGTTTCTGAATTGTCCTAAGAACATCTTTACAACCTGTTCCCCTTATATTGACACCTTGGTTTGGCTTCCATGTGATACAGTGATGCTTAATTTCCCACTGTATTCTCCTAGGCGTGACTACAAAACTCTTCTTGGTAGTACCATAAATTAAGTCTATCTTTAAAGAAAAATTTTGGACGTCAATGAAAGTAATTAAAACATGTGCAGTGGTCTCAACAGACAGTCTAAATGAGGAATTCCTAGAGTGTTTCCAAAGGATGTGGCATGACTGAAATATAGGCAAGCCTGTATGTGTTTCGATATCTAAGATCTATTTACTGTAAAAGCAGTTTTCATGCCTCATTAGTAAGCTCACTGACAATTGCATAAACAGGAAGGGGTAAAAATTGTGCATGAAACTGTGTAATTATTTTAATCATTGGAACTTACTGCAGCTCAGAAAATAAAAGTTAAGAGGTTGCAGAAATAGAAAGGTGAGCATGCGCAACTATTGGGATGGGGGAAATTCTAAACAGCAAGTGATAAAAAGGCCCTTTTCATATCCCCCAAAACCTACTGGGGTTCCTAAGGCTTCAGTTCCCCACTTACTTCCTGACTTTGCCTGTGTTTCCCAGCCATGTTAAATGCACAGTGTAGAAGGTGGTTCCTCCCAGGGGTAACACTGTAAGCCTGGTCTGACATTTGTCACTTCTCCACTTCTGGTCTCTCCTGGACCACCATCCTCTCATCCCTTCCTGTATCTCTCTCCTGGGTCTCCCTATTTTCGGTTCTCAAGGTCCTGGTGCACTGGAAGAAACCAATCTTTTCCTCACTCTTTCAGCAAAACACAGCTTTTCAAATCAAACATGCTTTTTTCAGGATATCTTAATAACAACACGAGAACCCCTCTTGTGAAACTCAAAGCCCAGGAAAAGGCTTCTTTGACCCTCTGTGCCCTACCTCTTTCTAAATTAAAGAACTGCAAGGAGAAGAGGACATAAAGGGGATTTTCAACAATGACTACATTGATTCTACATTTTCAAAAATATCCTCTTCTCTCACCCCACCACACAATCACACATTCCACCTCACAGCCTGCAGACTTGAGTGCATTTGTTCTGGATTGTCTGTTAGAATGCCATTTTAGTTTAGAGACACACCCTGGAGCACTGCAAACTCCTAGGTGAGTAGAAGAAGCTGGCCTCAGTAACTTGGCTCCTGACTTTTCTCTGCGATTTGCTTTATCAGGGAAAACCTGGTATGCCAGGACCTCCAGGTGTTCCAGGGGAGCCGGTGAGTTGCCCTTATGTTCATAGCAGATGTACTTGCACTCAATTTCCAAACATTTTTAGCAATTAATTTTTCTGAGGATATATTTATAGGGTGAAAGAGGACCTGTTGGAGATATTGGTTTCCCTGGACCAGAAGGACCTTCAGGAAAGCCAGTGAGTACTTTTTGCTATTTAAAATTTCTGCTTTGGGAGATGTCCCATGCATTACCTCTTTACCGATGTCTTCAGACACTGAGAAACTTGAATGAGAAGCTTCAAAAGAAGTAAGAGCAAGTTCCACAAGTGGACTTTAGGGGCATGGGTGGGGAATCTCAAGTTTCCCAACTCTTTCTGTCATGTCGTTATTTGTAGATGATGGTGAGACTTTTTTTTTTTTTTTGGCGGTACTGGGGTTTGAACTCAGGACCTCACACTTGTTAGGCAGATGCTCTACTGCTTTAGCCACTCCGCCAGCCCTGTTTTGTGTGGAGCATTTTTGAGGTAGCGCCTCTCAAACTATCCACCCATGCTGGCTTTGAACCACGATCCTGCTGATCTCTGCCTCCTGAGTAACTTGAATAACAGGCGTGAGCCTTTGGCACTTTTAAGTGCCAGGAAAGTAGACTTGTTACAAGTCTAATGTTGTCAACAGAGTTTAAATAATAAAATGGCCTGTCACAGCCTAAAATATAAAGAAACTGAAGACTCACAGATATTAACACCTATATGTTAAGCTAAAGACTAAAATAGAAACTATTTTCTCAAATTCCTTACTTTATATGGGGACCTTGTTCTTATACTGTCATTAGTCACTGCTGCTGAATACTCTCGTGTCCTAAAAGAGCTCTTAGCTTTTGATATACAGTACTGGTGCAGTATTGTAGCAATCCTTCCTGTTCAACCTGCATTCATCTAGTCCCTGCTGTTCACTGAGGATGTGCTGGGCCTGGAGGGAGCTGCATAGAAAGATTCATCAATCAATCATTTCTCACTCTTGGGTTTATTCTCTCCTTTTTTTTTTTTTTTTCAGTACTGGGGGATTGAACTCAGGACCTCAGGCTTGCTAGGCAGGTGCTCTATGACTTGAGCTACCTCTAGCCCTTTTCTGCTTTACTTATTTTTTAGATAAGGTCTCATATTTTTGCCTAGGGCTAGCCTCAGAGCTCAGTCCTCCTACCTATGCCTCCCTGGAGCTGGGACTATAGGGATGACCACCATGCCCAGCATATTGATTGAGATGGGGTCTTCCTGACTTTTTGCCCAGACTGGCTTTAAACCACAATCCTCCCAAATACCTGGAATTTATAGACGGTCACTGTTCCCTTTGCTTAATTATTTACTGTAATGTTTATGGGAAGTGGAATTTTAAGAAGGGAAGACTGAAGGTGAATAAGCAGCACAAAGGTCATGAAGCTGGTTCAGTATCTCTGTGGAACCTAGGGTTGGTGCAGTCTCTGACCATCCTCTCCCCAGAAGAGGCAATGTGAAAGATGAAAAGCATGTGCAACTTAGAGTCTGCTTTGTGACACCAAGGGTCTCCTGAGTCAGTCCAGTGACATGACATATTGGAAGTGTCTCCACTGCCTGGCCATAAGAGGGCTGAGTAATACTGCCTTTATTCCCTGCCGCCCCCTTACCCCCTTACCAAGTCCCCATCCCCTGCCCCTATAAGCCATCTTCTAAAAGCTTGCCATGGGTTCCCAGGAGACTCTACAGAAGGCAATTTTGTCATTTGACAAGTATTTCTTGAGTACCTACTACATGCTAGGCACTGTTCTGGTACTGAAAACTCACAGAGTTTGCATTCTAGAATAGGAACACTGACAACAAACACACACACACACACTCAATTTCAGGTAGAATAATAGCTGAGTCAAGTGAAGCTCTCTAGTATGATTTTAATAAAGTGGTCAGAGAAGGGCTACAATTTGATCAGAAACCTGCCATGAGGAAGTTGGAGAGAACATTGTTTCAGATGTAAGAAATGACTAATAGAGGAGTGAGCCTGTGAGGTCAGAAAATAGCAGAAGCTATGAAGTTGAGAAAGAACAAAAGGGAAAAGAGTGGGAGAGACAGGAGGGAGAGAGCATGAGGAACTTCTAGGTCTTGGAAAGGAGTTTGGATTTCATCTGAAATAGGATAGAAACCCTTTGGATCTTGTGCAGTAGCTAATGGCAAAGATTGGACTACATGCCAGGACTCAGTCTGATTATTGTGTGGATAATAGACAGTAGAAAGCAGGGTAGAAGCAGATAGTGAGGAAGCATTGCCAAAATCTCTATGAGAAATAAGAATGCTGGGAACTGGCAGGTCATGAGTAGGGTAACTTAGGGTTTACACTAACAGGAAAGAAATCAAGACTTACTAATAGACTAGAAGTGAATTATGAGGGAAGGAGACAAATCAGAGCAGTAGTTTGGGGTACTGTTTAGTGAAATGAGGAAACTGGAGTGGTATTGTGATGTAAAATCAAAGGTTCTTTGTTTTGGAGGTGTTCATGTTGAAGTACTAATAGATATCCAAGTGGAAATGTCAAGTACACAGTAGATACGTGCATCTGAAATTAATGGAGACACCAGGATTGGGGAGACCAATTTGGAGCATTTAAACCTGGACCTTAATGAAATGGAGTCACTGGGAACAGGGAGAAAGAGAGGATTTCAGCTGATAGGAAGGAGACCCACCAAGTAGAGTGGCAAGGGACAAATGAAGTTTACTGGGTGTCAAGTGAGCTAAGCATTTTTAAACAAAGAAAAGAGAAGTGATCAACACAGAGATAAGTAACATGAAGACTGATAATTTTTCACTAGGTTTAGAAATATGGTGGGAGAGATTACAGCATGTTAATATCTTGATAAGAATGATCTCCCCAGTTGAAAGGGGAGATTTTGGATACAAGAGAGTGGAGATTAAGTAGGGAGAGAGGATGATATCTTCTCAAGTTGAAATTTCTCTTAACTAGGAAGAGTGGCAGTTGTTCCTTCTTAACTGAGGGGAGTGGGGGTAGAAATGCAGAAATTGGGGTATAAATGATTGATGGGGTTGGTGAAGGCAAAGTGGGGAGGTTCGCCCCCTGTTTGTTTTCCTAGCAAAAGAAGAATTGAAGTCCTCAGCTAAGCATGAGGATGGGGAGGTAATGCTGGAATTTGGAGAGACAGGAAAAATATGAAAAAAAGTTCTTTTGGGGAGAAAGAAAGAGAATCAAATGGGGAAACCTAGAAGGATGCCCTAGGGGTGCTGAGGGCTGCTTGTAATCTGCCATATATATTCAAGTTAGAACATGTGAACAAAGATATTTAGCTTTCTCCAACCAGTCAGCTGCTCAGATACAGGTGTGGGCTTGCAGGAAGATGGTTATGCTGAAGTATAGGATTTTGCCAGGTAAGTGAGATGAAGGGAGAAAGGGAAAGGCCTCTAAAAGCAGGACTCCCTATGATAGAAAGTAACACCTCTGTATATAAAAGATAGCACTCATGATGGTCCTCGATCAAGTACTAGAGGCTAAAAAGTTATAGGGTTATTTCTTTTCTTATATTGTTGCCAAAGACATAAATTACATTTTATACTATATTTATCTTTTATTCAAGTGACACAATTGTTTCTTTCACATCCTCTCCTTAATCAGCTTTATCTTTTTTGCTTGTGTTCCTGCGTGTAATAAATTCTTTGAACCACACACTTCAGGTAGTATGTTCTTAGTTAAAAGTACTCTAGATCATTCCCAAGCTATTTCAGAGCAGTTGAGAGACTATGATTGGGTATCACCTGTGACACATTTCAGTGTAATTTACAGCAGTGAAAACATGCGGTTGTCTGCAGTTCCATCCTCACAGAATCCATCCCAGCACAATAAAAGTCTCTCAGGCTTTTCAGAGGAGCATGTTCATGCAGCTGCCTGCTGGCTGAGAAATTGCGTTCCTCACCTTGATCTCTCTCTTCAAATCAAATCGCAGAAAAACATCTGCCGTTGGGCCCTTGGTATTTGGGTTGACCCCAAGTACTTTGCTTTCTTATAGCTCCAGCCAGTAGTTCTCCCAGGCTCGTAAATCTCCAAGCAGGGCTAGGCTTTATTATCACTTCCAAAACTGCCTTTTAAAGTTCAAGAAACTTCCAATTTTCTGATAAAAAGTCACTGTTTAGTACTCTCAAAAACCACAACTACAGATTTCTTGCTTTCCTTCTCTATTTTCTAACTGAAAAATAGCAATTGTTTTCTGGCTGACAATTTATTTCATAGTAGGATCAGACTCTGGTCATGTTATGAAATTCCCTCAGCAGCAACTGAAGTCATTAACTAAGAATAACACGAAACTTAACAGAAGGCAACAAAACTGCTTGCCTCAGAATGTACCTGATGGGAGAATAAGCAGAGAAAATAACCTTTGGTGACTATCTACAAGTAGACTGTGCAACTTTTGTGTTATTTTATTTAGTCCTTGGTTGTAAGTCCGTTACTAGGTTCCTCACTATGTAAGTGATGAAGCTGATGCTACTAAGGTCAAGTGAATTGCCCTAGCATGAAAGTAGCAGGTGTGAGAGTCAGAATTTGACCTCAGGGCTGTCTGATTGTACTGACTCACCAAAATCTCAAAAGAAATATGATTAAGATAATGTCCTTGAAATGTTTCTCTTTTGTATTTAATTATGTCTATTAATGCAGAATTAGAAATATTACTCATTTTTGTCTTTATAGGGAATAAACGGAAAAGATGGATTACCAGGTGCTCAGGTATGGAAAATACCATTTAAAACGTATGAACTTTAACGTGCATAGGTTCCAGAATACCTACCAACATACAGATCAGACTGATGGAAAATAATTGCAAGCAGTGATTTTTATGTTGACATGTGTTTTTCAGGGTGTCATGGGTAAGCCTGGAGATAGAGGCCCCAAAGGAGAACGTGTATGTATATTATTTCTGTGATTGCTATTCAAGTCTGTCTGATGCAACTGTCCCATCATTTGGGTTAACACGATTGTGCATGTAGACACCTACAGTCTCCCAATAGGACTAAGACGGTTGCATTGATACAAAGTCCTTCTGTTTTCTTTCTGCATGGCTTTTATGTCTCTTCACATCACATAGATCACATAGATCTCTGTAATTGTTTACTTATTGTCATTGCTTTTAAAATCAAGAAAAATATAATTTGGCCTTTTACAGAGCAGTTGTGAGTAAAAGAATACTATGATGAAATGCAGGGCAGCCTCAAGCACCATTCCATCACATTTGGGATGGACCGCACTTCCTGGAGTGAATACTTAAGAATCTGTAACTGAAACACCTGCCATGATCGCTCTCTTCCCTTCTTGCACAAAGACATTCAATAGTAGACACATTTCAGGGCAAAAGATAGCATTATCAGATTCAGGCACATCTAATATATCCTGTTCCTCACTTACTCTAACGTCTTACTCAACAAATTCTTATAGTTCATTTATGCTGTTGAGTAAACTATCTCAGTGACAGCTCTCCCCTCTACTCACCTGCTTTGAAACTTTGTGAAGATCCTGCTTTCCCATCTTCTTGAGCTGTATATATTTAGGACATGGATGTTCACACACACAAAACACAACCAAGAAAACAAACCCAAACAGTCTGATAGAGACCACACAAATAGGAGAACGTGAGGGGCGGGGGAGGCGAGCACAAGATTTAGCAGAGGTTTTGAGTGTTCTGGGTTTTCTATGTCAAGGTGTTCCTCTTGACAATCATCCTTTGTTATTGCAAAGAAGACCCAGGCCTGAAGTGACAGCTAGAGTTGACTTTCAAAATGCCATCATTCTAGATTGATCACTGAGTACAGTTCTCATTGACACTCACATTTATGTATTGAATGCTCCAAGGTTCTGGGCATTGTTCTAAGAACTTTAATTGGGTTAAGTCATTTATTTCTTAACATTGTCCATTCAGTAGACACTATTAACACCCCCACTTTATAAGAGGAAGCTGGGCATAAAGAGTTTAGTCACTTACCCAAAATTCCACAGTGAATAAACGCCAATATGAATCCAAAACTTTGCTCTTAACCACAGCTGATGTGCTTTTAGAGAAGATCATTCCTTATTCCCCTAACAGGGTGATCAGGGAATCCCAGGAGACAGAGGCCCGCAAGGTGAACGAGGAAAACCAGGCCTTACAGGCATGAAGGGGGCCATAGGTCCTGTGGGTCCACCAGGAAACAAGGGCTCCATGGGATCCCCTGGCCACCAAGGCCCTCCAGGCTCCCCAGGCATCCCTGGTGCTCCGGTAAGTCATTCTGAGAGCTGCAGGGCTTCTGCCTCATATGGCCTATGCACTCTTTCTATAACAGAAGCCATGATAATGCTTGGTTTTGCTTTGTCCTTAGTTTTTACTGGTGTATATTAAATTGTGCATGGTAAGGGTTTCATCATGAGTGATGAAATACACCTAAACTGGTCTCTGTCATTATTCAGTTACGTGTCAGATCCTACATTACCTCACTTGATCTCCACAACCAATCGGAGAGGGTGTTGTCCTTCCCACCCCACTTTTATAAATGCAGAAACAGAGGTGACTTGCTCAAGGTCAGAGAATAATTAAGTGGACCAAACTCAGATCTGGCTGTCTCTAAATCCATGGTTTTAAAATACTATGTGTCTATAATGCCTCTTTGCACAGAAACCACCTGTGTGTTTCACATTAGAACTCGATTTTGTTGAATGTCAAAACAAGGAGTCTGCCCTGCATAGCGCTTAGAAGTAGAAATTATTTAGGCTAAGAAAGCATGTTCAGATAAAGCAGGCTGTATTTTTATTAATACCCTCAGGAGTAGTAAAAGAGATTAATCTGAAAATATCCACGAGGGGAAAAGGAGGATGCTGGAGGAAGAAGGCGAATTATAGACATATTCTTCTCAGACCAATACCAGATAAAGTGCAAAACGGGGCTCTCCACAATCTTCATACTACTTTTACCCAATCTCACCAATCTCTACTTGAATAAAGCCTATGTGACTTGAACTCTTGGCGCTGTGCTAGTAATTAGTATTAGGTCCATGAATTGAAGTTCATTTGTCCATACGCAGTGAAAATAAGATAATTAAATAGAGCATTCTTGGAACTATTCTGTCCAACAGAAGCCTTCACTTTATAAGCCCATCACATTGTCTTTTTTTTGGTTCATTCTAAATGAAATTATTGTTGCAAATGGAACTAGCACTGTTACCTTAGGAAAACACATGACATCATCATAACATCCTCAGGATGGAAACAAGGTGGAAGTAATTGTGGGGAAAAACGATGGGGAACCTACCATCAAAGAAAGGATCACTGAATGTAGAGAAGAGTTGAGGCTGTGCTCCAGTGTGAGAATCACATTGCATGACAATTTCCCACTGAGCTTTCACATGTCTCTTCTGCCCATTATCACATGTGTTCAACTAATGTCTTAAAGTAAACGCTTGGGACGGGGAGTGAGGTGACTGACTATGTCACAGCCCCTCATCTGCATTGCATTGTTTTACTGCCACATCTACCTTCAGAGGATAGCCACCAAATGAAAAGAATAGTAATAAAATACTCTGAAATCTTAACCATCATGTAAAATAACAGTTCTTTCTTGAAAATATCAAGGTACATTAGTATTATAAATATTATAATCTTTTGTTATAAATGCAGATTTACTTGTCAAGGGGTTAAAAATTTAACTGACACCACTTGCCATTTACCAGGTCTCACAGCATTTTCTATTGAAAAAAAACTGCTTAATACATTTGTATTTGCAATGTTTAAATTATAGAATAAACTATCATGAAATAGGAAAATCTTAGTAATTAATAAAGCCTTTTAAAGAATAATCCAGCATACTTGAATTTCTCTTCTAGATTTTCTTCCTTTGAAGATGCATTATCTCAGTTAGACATGGATTTGGCCAGTGTCCAGGGATTGGTTAGAAGTTTAATTGCAATTGAGCTACCAACATGATGATAGCACTGTTTGGACTCTTTAACTTTATAAAATGAGATAAGGAATTAAGTGAAGTTATGTTTCTCCATGAATAGGAAAAAATGTTAAGTTACTGTTATAATTCCAGCCCATAGCTCTTAAAGCATTGGACACTTCAGCTTATTCCCAACATTTGATCAAAATGTACCTATGGCCCAGTATAGTCAGCTGCCTAAAGCACTTTTCTTGATAAATGTATTTTTATAGAAGTAGACAAAACCCAGTATTTCTGTTCTTTATTCATTTATATTATCCTCTATCTTAACAGACTACTCTTTTTCCTTCTTTAGGCTGATGCTGTTTCTCTTGAAGAAATCAAAAAATACATTAATCAAGAGGTTCTAAGGATTTTTGAAGGTTAGTTTTGCTTTATAACATTTCTGAGTTTTTCACTAATGCCCACTTCTCATCCATTGTGAGGAATCCCTCAGTCACATTCTTGAAAGATGACCAGGCAACAACTTTAAAGGTCCTGTGTTCAATCCCCAACACTGCAAATTTTTTTTTTTAAAAATCAAGTTATTCGTGTTTTTACATTGTTCTATCCTCGAGATATCCTTTGGAATATTTTTGTAGAACAAGTTGGCTGACCCTTATAACTTTAGGTAATCTCTAAATTTTATAAGCATGTTATCATTCTAGTTGTTGATAGAAATGTTGAACTGAAAAGTCAAGAGTCAAGGATCAGGGCTTTCTAAATGCTGTGAGGTTCCTTCACCCACTGGTAAATGATCTGTGTGTCTATTGTTCAGTGAACTCAAACCCATACAGTTGTCCTGAAATCCTCTCTACATCTCTTTATCTGTTTGTAAGGATATCACATGACCTTTTCAGTGATTTGCTAACCTCATGGTCATTCTCCTCAAATTTAAGATTAACAAAGGGAAAATTATATGCTTTTCGCAAGTAAATCCATATTGGAATATTGGATCACATGGTTCTTACTTCCTTTGCTAAACATCGTAAGCCAAAAATAGATCACTGAATTTTGTAAGGAATGAGATCACAAGATACCAAGTCTATGGTGAAATCACCATAATTTGAGGTGCAAATTATCTTGTTTAACATGAACACTGGAGGTAGAGCAGAGTCACACTGTGACTTTTAGCAGCATCAGTAACAGAAAAAAGTTATTTTTAATAAGGTCATGAGGCTGATGGAGTGGCTCAAGTGGTAAGAACACTACCATTGCAAACATGAGGCCCTGAGTTCAAACCCCTGTGCCACAAAAATAAATAAACAAATAAGGTCATGAATTCTTGCTGTTGATTTAAATTTACTTTGATCTCTAGTATATATCCTTACCTTGCTTTAAATAACTTATTAAAAGAATTTCCCATTTGTTTTTTGGAGCTGCCAGTGTTCTTGATAATTTTAATGTTGCACTTAAATTGAGAAATCCCCCTTTTATTTTCTGTTTTATGACCTTTGAATCAAGTACCATGCAATAGGTGCTAAATTTTGCAGTTCAAATATCCATTCCCCTCAATAAGAATTCCTCAAACATCACATGTCTAGGAGGAAAAAGACCTTACCTGATCTTTAGGGGGACACTGAAGAATGTATAGACAGCTGCAAATTTTTCAGGGCTCAGTGCAAAATGAAAATGGTCAAAAATTACTAAGAATTTTAAGATATCAGCAGTAGAACATTAAGCTAAGCATCGGACCCCTGTCCAGTTACATGTCCGTGAAGCTACTCCTGAGCTCAGGACATTTAGGATCTCAGACAGCATCCATCTTTTAGTTGACCACAGAGAGAAAATGAGAAATGCCACCAAACATGTTTTGAACTGCAATCTAAAGTTCTCTTTTCACTCCTAATTTCCATGGGCTCTAGAGTTATTATCTTTTAGTAAGGCAACTTTAATGTTGAGCTTCAATTTCTTAAAAGGCTTTAGATAAAAAAATTAATAGATCTATAATTTGTTCAGCTTTCTGAAGGCTAACTAAGAATGTCAGAAACTTGGTACTGAGATGTAGCTCCACAGGACAGCTCTTGCTTAACATACGTAAAGTCCTGAGTTCAATCCCCATCACCACAAAACAAAAAGTCAGAAAATTATAACCAAGCATTACCAGAAAAAAAAAAAGATGTGTAACAGTCTGGGAGGCGTTCATTTTGTAAGTCCAGTGTGCATTAAATAAAGGCATGACCTGGCAGCCTGTCTTGGGTGTTCAGCAGAAGAGACACTTACCTCCCCTGAAGAAAGCTCCATGCTGCCCACTCTCAAGCCACTGCACAGCTGTGCCCAAGAATGGCTGCCAATCTTCTGATGGCAGAAGTGAGGGGAACTGGGCCACTCTCCATGGAGCAGCCTCACCTGGCTTATACTTCTGAGCAGCTCTTCCTCTAAGTCTGCATCCTTCCCATTCAACTTCCTACCCTTCCTACCCTTCTTAGAGCTTCCTGTCTAGAAGCTCACAGATATGGAGTCTTCCCCATGTCTCCTCTGGCTTCCTACCTATCTCTCCTGTTGCCTTCCCGTTTTTGCAGCTTGGTTGTATCCAGGTGAGTGGCTGGACACTCCTCCCCACTCCCAAGATCCAGTGCTCCCTCAGAAGGTACACACATTGACCTCAATCAGTATTCTAAACAAACCTAAAGGCTGGGTATGGTAGCAAATATCTGTAATCCCACTACTCAGAGTTGGAAGTAGGAGGATCACTGAAAAACAAACTAAAAACAAAAAGGACTGGGGTGGGGCTTAAAGAGTACAGCACTTGCCAAACTCGAGGCCTTGAGTTCAACCCTCAGTACTACAAAAATAAAAAAATGAATAAATTAAAAGACCATAGGGAAATTTTTTTCCTTGAAACTTCTGTGATTCCATATGTGATATCCCTATCCTTTTATCTTGCTTGACATCATTTCAGCAAGGCTGTGTTCTCCCAAATAAAATTGCACCTAAAACCCAGAATTTAGTCATTTTGCACTTAAGTTAATTTGTCCTCAGATCGTCTCAATTTAGTCCATTTGATTTTCCACTTAGAAGTCACCTTCTCTATGGCTTCTGAACACATTTGCAAGAGAGAAAAAAGGAAAAACTCCATTTTCACAAATCATAGTGCTACAAGGTCATGTTTCCGTTTTATTAGAAAGCTTTCTCTCCCAAAGCTAAGATGAATTTTCACATGTTAAAACAGCCACAGTTGAGCAGCACAGTACCGTTAAGTGCTTCAGGTCAGTGGTACCATCCTCCTCCCTTTTTCCTAGCTGTTTCTCCAGGGCCAGTGTCCGTAGCAGCTCACGCTTCTCTCTCTCCATGCACTCCACCACAGGAGGCATTCTTTTGCTTCAGCAGGAACCTAGTGGTGTCTTCAAGAGATCCTCTCCCCCACTTTATTGCCCCAGGTAGATAGCCTGGAGATGGGAGCCTCTAGTGAAACCCACAGTAGGACCCCAAAACTCAAGCCCTTTGAGGTTTCCCACAGATCTCACACCTTTGACTTTTCTCCAGGCCACCAAGATGTCCTCAGCATCCTGATGTTCCTTCCCAACCCTGATGGCGGAAGGGATGTCTTTCCCCCAGTCCCAAGACTAGAGTACAGTTGGATCAAAATGCACAAATATGCATCTATGCCAAAGTTAGATTAAGTTCTCAAATTTGATTGGCTAACAGGGTAAGGCCTTTTTCAAGTAAGGTGACCACACAGGGCAAGGAAAGATGCTATCCACATGTCTCAGCACAGCATCTCTTAGCTTTATAAGAGCTATTCAGCTGCCCACACAAGCCAGGGTCTTACCAGATGTCAGAAGCATAATTCTGCTATGATACTACCCTATTATATTTGAGATTTACATCAACGTGCAAAAGGAATTTACCAATCTATGAAGAAACATACATAAACACCTAGCTCTTTCCAGGCTTTAAAAACGAGACTGACAAGGCTATACTTGTAACTGAGGAAGAAAAGGAAAAGTAGGACTGTGTCCCTGAACAATATTCCACCTCCAGATTTTCAGTGTTCAGGAAATCCCTTTACCTATGTATTCTCCATTTTCCACACATATATTTCGTCACATACATATGTATGAATGTGTGTAAATACACTATCTGTTCTCTTATCTCTAATATCTTTCCTGTGTAAGGTATTTATACATATCTGATAGATACACCTCATTGGAAATACAACTTTTAAAAATATTTTCAACACTGCATTTCTTCTAATTTGCTTCTTTCTGTTTGTGACGCTTACATAACTTACAGCATTTCTTCAAAGTCCAGTAATATATGGTGGTCTGTTCACACATGAGGACAGATTCCAAAAACTGGAAAGTTCTGAGAGAATGGTGGGACTTGACAACTATAAGTGTCACTGCAGGATAGCTAGCTAATGTTTTTCAATTTCAGTTCCTTCAAGTCTCTCGGTTTGGTCTGGAGACATTTCCATTTCCTACCTTGCTGCCAACTCAGTCCTAAAAATGCAAATGTTTGATTTTTCCCTTTTTTCAGTATTGAAGCCAGAGTCTCAGAGAAGTCTAGGATCCCCAGTGCAGAGATGGTCTTTCTGCCCTTTTCATATAATAAAACACCAGTCTTTGGCTGAGGTTGAGGAGAAATAACTGCCCAGCTGTTTAGGGTAGAGAAAGATTTCTAAGGCTACTTCATAAATGACCTTTCAAGCAATTCTCCTTATTTTAAATCCTCTCCCACTTCCAGAGGTAACTTATAATGCCATTTCCTGAACCTCTTGAAGATTTTGTTTTATTCTTTATATATTTACTTCTCTTTCGGGATTACTGAGGTTTAAACCCAGGTCCTCAAACTTGCTAGGCAGATTCTCTGCCACTTGAGCCACTCTGCCAAGTGGCAGAGTCCTTTTTTGTGTTGGGTGTTTTCAAGATAGGGTCTTGCAAACTATTTACCCAGGCTGTCTTTGAACCATGATCCTCCTGATCTCTGCCTCCTGAGTATCTAGGATTACAGGCGTGTGCCACCAGCACCAGCTGATTTAAAATCACGTGACCTTAAATGGCGTTGTTTCTCTGCTTTTAGTGTAAAAGTTTTCTTGAGTTTATTAAGACAAATATCACTTGGCCCTGTGATCCTCAGCTTCCAATATTTTGTTATTGTTGTCTCCTTTCATATTCTACTCATTCTTGACCTTTATGCCTTTAAGAGTAACTTGCCATTGTTTTTCAGGCATTCAGGATGTAGTTAAAGCAGAAACATGTTCAGTGCACCATTTTTACCCTTAATAACATTTCAGAGCAACATGCTTACACACGTGGCAAAGGACTGTGTCCGAATACTGTGGCAACCACATTTGGGGCATGATGAACCGGAAGATAAATAAAAATCCTCATGATGGATTAACAAATACATAAACAGTTAAAGTGAAACTGGATAATTACCACAGGATATTACACTTCTGATATTTTTGCCCCTTAAGAGAAAGCTATATGTAATTTTGGTTTCACATTTAAGAGACATATGGAAAAGTCCAGGAATAACGGAACCAAAAAGTGATTTACAAAACAGATTAGCAAGCCTATGAATGAAAGTGATTTAACCTTAAGGGTAAGAGGTAGCAATATTAGCAAGTAATGAGTGTTTCCCTTGAGAAATCAGTCCTATAACTATTGTTTTGTAATGGAGTAACAAAAGAAAATAAGTAGAAATTAGACAAAGAATATAGGCAGTTAAACATTTGAATGAGAATTAGGAGAAAAAGATGAATTTCCCTTTGAAAACAGTTACAAGTTCTGTCTGTGGAACAGAAGGTAGACAGGCCAGTCAACTCGTGAATGTTCCCTCCTTCTCTAGTAGCACAGTTTATCATCACACTGATAGCAATGTCTGCACTGTATTAGTGTGCCCTTCTGCAAGAAAGTCAAGTGTTGACCTCATTTGTTAGAATGACTGCTGTGGGCTTTGCCTTGGCAGACAGAATGCGTGTGTTTGGTTTATGCATACACATCTATCTAAAGTCTTCAATTTCCTACCTCATTAAAAGGCAAAGCCAAAAACAGTTTAATTTACTAGGGATCCCTGAAAACGGAGAAAAGGTGATTAAGAATATAGCTCTTCACAATTCATTTAGATGCTCAAAAACATATTAGTCCAAATTATAGAGCATTTGGGTAGGGTTCAGAAGAGGTAATTAGCCTTATGTTAAATGACTATTTCTTAATGTATCTTAAAGTCAGTTAATTTACAGCTACAAGTAATTGTTTAAAATAATTTTGCTTTGCTAAATTATTTGCTAAATTTGGGTATTTAAAAGCACCCAAAGAGCTTGTTAATGCCGACATTAAAATTCCCATATCAAAAATTAGTACTGTGAATAGTTACGTTTAAGACACTGAGGTATTGAAAGAGAGATATTCCAAGTAAATAAAAATTGGACTGAAATACCTAGTTTCTCTTTAGAGGAAAACAAATATGCAGTTTCAATATGTAATCATTGAATTTCATGTCTATTGTAAAGTACCCATTTTATAGTATAATGAGATTTATTTGCTTTTGACATGATGATTTGAAAACTATAAGTACATTTTGATTACATATTTGTTTCATCTATTCAATTACTAGGATAAAGTGCACTAACATCCACCAAACACCCCAGGTTTGTCAGGTAATGAAAGCTTCATGGGAAGTCAGATATTTCATGTCACTCCATGGGAGGGGCTCCCATGAGATCCCCATCTGTCTTCTAAGCCGCCATCCAGTCTGTAGCCAGGATTTTAGTCCTGGGAATTTTGTGACTTTCCATTCTGCTTGCTCTGTAACTTAAAAATGTGAGTGTTTAATACAGCTAATGTTTAACACTTATTGGGACTTTTCTTAATAATTCTATATGAAAAAAGCTTACTTTCCTAAGCAGTTGAAAGGCCTACATTTTACAATGTTTTTTGTTTGGAAGTCAATAGGAAAAAAAGTGTACTCAGAAGTAATTTACTTTTTATCAAAAAATTTGAAAAACACACATACATGTTCCAGTGAAACACGCCCTTACATGAACTAAGCTGAGTGAAAAGACCAGAGAAAACTGAAGTAAGTCCTTGCAAGGTCCATATGATCTGGTCTTTGCTTTTTCTAACAAACAGCTATAGTTTCTAGTATGTTGCTGTCACTTGGTTATTCCTTACAAAATAAACATTAATTTCATCAGTAAAAAACTTTTTTGGAAAATTTGAACCAGGCACAGGCTGAATTTTTTACATTTAATATTTATGTTATTAATACTTCTTGAAAAATTGTCTTGGTTTCACATAGAAGTCATTTGAATTGCTAAAAAATTTGCTTTCTAAAGAAACAATGTGAAAAGAAAAACATCAGGGCAGTTAATGTTTATCATTATTATTATGCCCAGTTCCCTATTTTAAGCCTAGTTATCCACGTACTAGAGTTTTACAGTGTCATCCATACAAAATATAAGTAAAGCAAGTTTAAATAAAGAGCCCAGTGACCGATTATATTTATAATGACCCTTCCGTGAATTAATGATTTTACCAAAATTAATTCCAGATAGGAAAATATTCAACATATTTTTGCAGTAAAATTGAACTGAACAATGGCCTATGTGAGATTAACAACCAAGAATTCAATAAATGACAAGTATAATTTTGAAGTAAATACTCAAAAAAGTAATTCCGACAAGGAATACCTTATATAAACAATTGCATAATCTGTTATATCATACTATTCCCAGTTGTTAGATTATCAGTAGATAATCTTTATAGTATATAGGCCTTGCAAAGCATGGACAATAGGGTTATTTAAATGATAATCTCTCCATGATACTGAAACAGGAGAACTTATAACACAGAAAGTAGAGAATTCTTCATGGAAGGTCCTACATAAAAAGAGTGTTTAGTGAATTTAGTTAATAATATATCTTGCTTAGAATTTTTTTTCTTATTAATACAATATTTGTCTTCCCTCTGTCAAATCCTAAGCCAACCACTTTCCCCAGACTTCCTGGGGAGACAGACAAGACATGGGAGAAATAACTCCTTCACATGGCAAAGAGGATGAGAAAGACCATTTCCTTGAAATGGTGCTGGTTTGGAAGCTGTGACTAGGGACAAGTGAGGTCAGGGGTCATCAGACTGCCAAGTTTCTGAGGCTGTCATCTGGCAGTGTCTCTTGTCAGTTTAGTACCACTGCCGATAGTAGTAGGTTCAGTAGCTAAGAGGTGCTCCTGACCAAGGAGGGAGTGGAGATGAACTTGGAGGGGCTGTGGCAAGAGAGCTGTTACCAATACAGAGAAGAGAGAGGCAGAAAATTGTTTTAAATTGAAAAACCTTATTTACATTTCCATATTTACTTTTCTTGAACTTCATTTCCTGGATTCCTTAAATTTCATGAATATGCCAACTTTCTACAATGTATATTCATTTTCATTCATAACTATCCAAGTATTTTGTTGCATCTCACTATGCCAACTGTAAAGGTATTTCCTTGAGCTAATGGCTGACCTGGCCTTAAGTATCTTTAATTAACGCTCTGTCCTTCCTGGTGACTCTCTCCAGGACCCAACACTGTACTAGACTGCAGGCATCGTGGCTTATTTAAATTAATTCATAAAGGTTGCATCACTCTGTTTTAACAAAAGATTTTGGTACATTTATCAACATTTTGAATGTCCCAGATAATTTGTCAGTATCCCATAACTTGTGTATTTGTAGTTTTGATGCTTTCTCGGGCTCCCAGACATATACAGAAACATTTTGCTCTTCTCACTGGGTCTACAATTAGAATTCAGAGAGAATTCACCAATGATGAATTTCTTTCTTTTGTGCAATTAGACACTAAAACTCCACAGCGCACACTAACTGGATATGCAACCAGAAAGTGGATAATAATGAGGATATATAAGATGTCTTCTTTTAAAAGTAAAAGCTTTTTCCAGGGAACAATATTTGCCCATTGTGGCGCTGAAATAATGAAATCATAGTGCATATTGGAGCCAATGACAATCTTTTCAATAAAAAAATCCTCTCTACTAATAATGCAGTTTTGTTCAAGGATAGTAACAATCACATACCATATGAGTTGTCATTGCTATGTAAGAAAATACCTATACCTGTAGACTGTAGAGGCTTAAAACAATAAATATCCATTAGCTCACACTTTCTCTGGGTTGGGGACTCAAAGAGTTGCTTCCTTGTGTGGCTCTGGCTCTATACAATGAAGTTACAGTCAGGATGTCTTTTAGGGCTGCAGCCATTTAACAACTTATTAGTGATGGGCTCCTGCCCCTACATGGCTGTTGCCAGGTGGCATCAGCTCCTCCCCAAGTGGGCCCTCTCCACAGGACTTCTTGAGTGTTCTTATTCCATGGCAGCTGACTTCTCACAGAGTGAGCAATCTGAGAAGAGCAACTACAAAGCCGTGCTGTCTTTTATGACTTGTTCTTTCTAGTTGTACATTGTCAATTCTGTTTTTTCTACTGATAAGAAATGAAAGGTCAAGCCATCACTCAAAAATAGGAGAATTAGGCTCCAACTTCAGAAGGGAGTGTCAAAGAGTTTGTGATCATATTTCAAAGAGCCATACATTCACAAACATTGCTGGAAGTGCCTTACGGTTATTGTTAAAACCACTTTGTAACGTGAACTTGAATTATCTCTACAAGTCATTCTGTCTCTGCTACATCTCAAGAGCACTGAAAATTCTTAGACCCTCTGAGAGACACAGATATTCTGCCTCTATACTCAAACAACTTTGTACAATTGATTTTATGTGTCTCATCATAAACACTCAGCAGTCAGAATAGCTGGCAGATTAGATGTGCTTAAATTGGAAACTGGATTTTTTAATTTCATGTAAAGTTTTTGAAAAATTTTGACATAAAGTATTCCCATTACATAATAGGTTATTTTTTCTTTCATAAATGTAGAAAGGATGGCTGTGTTTCTATCCCAGCTGAAGCTGCCAGCAGCAATGTTGGCTGCACAAGCTCATGGGAGGCCAGGCCCACCAGGGAAGGATGGGTTACCTGGGCCACCAGGAGACCCTGGACCTCAAGGTAAGGTGTAATACATTTGCTTCAGGTGTAATACATTTGCTTACCAATTTTTAACCCTCGGTGTTTATAACATGTTAACTTAAAGTAATACAAATATCTAATATGGATAAAATGATTTAGTCTAGAATATATTATTAACATTTGATTTTCTAGCAGTAGATATTCACTCCTGCTTCAAGCTTAAAACTGGTGATTACCTGTTCCTGTAAATGTGTTTTAATATTTAGTATGTAACAGCAATAATGTGTACCTAGGAATCCTAGAGTTGCTTATGCTTCTTTAAGTTAGACAACAAGACTCATTATCTTAAACTTTCAAAGAAACTCAGGAAAGTCTTGGGAGATTGTACTACAAATAGTCATTTGAGCCTAAAGTATATTGGGGGAAATCTTAAAATCTGCTATAGATGATAACTGTTGAACTTTAAAAAAACCTATCATACAGACTTCTAAAGTTTTTTAAGCCAACTTTATATTTGTCAAAAATTTTGTTCCACTTATAACTTGACAACTTGATGTTAAATTTGGCTTAACTAAATTATTCTGACAAAGTCATTTGGTAGAAATATGGTTAGCCACCAGCAAACTGGTCAAATCAGTCTGGGTTTAGAAAACTGATAAATTCAGGCAGGGACATGCCAAATTCACTGAGTACATAGCCAGACCAGAGAGCCTGAGGCTTCAGGCATCTCCACCAACGCTATTCCCAGGAATTTGGGGGATAGTGGACCTTGGTGAGTTTGAATTAAATTTTCCTCCAGAATCCATTTTCATGTACCATCTGCTCAGAATAAGCCCCAGTGTGCTCGTGTGGGGACATGCAGCACATCCCCCATTCCTTGCACACAGATGAATAGACACACAGAGAAAAGCAGAGCTTAGTGAATAGGTTCCCAGATTTAGTCAGATGCCCTGCCTTACATGGAAGACAGACCCTGACACAGGTGAATAGGTTTCTACCTCCTGAGTGACATCCTATAACTATCCCCACTCCTACAGAATGCTCTGTTGCCAGATGTATGGGAAAGGAGTTCTCATGGAGCAGAATTGAATCCCTTGGCTCACAGAGGCAGGTGTTTCTCCACCATGAGTGTGTTTGCAGGCATGCTGCATCAGGGCAGGAAAGCAGGAAGGACAGCCCTACAAGGCGAAAGGCCTTGTTGGTTACTGGAGACACATCCAGGAGGCTGTGGGTCTGAGGTTAGCCAGCCTTGGGCAGAGCTGCCAACAACAGACTGGGGGGGTGGTACAGAAAGAACTTTATTATGCTGTTCTAAAAGGCCATCTGGGCAAGAGGTCAATTTAGGAGTGCAGATATAGGTGAGCAAAGGCTGGTGAGCACCTTGTCACAAGTGTAGATTTGTGACCAAATGACACAATCTGATCTTAGTTGCAACTGGCCACAAGGTGCTTTTGTTTCTTCAAAGATCATTATTTCCTCAGCTGTTCTTGTCAACAAGTGATTAGTTTGTCCATATGGTGTTCCTGACATACTACACAATGGACAGGCTAGAGTCACTAACCACATCACCCTCTTGTGATGTGGTAATGGAAGGAAAATATTTCACCTGCTTATTGTGGAAGATAGGTTATGTGAGGTTAAACAGGAAGTGAGGCATGAGATGTGGTCTCACTGCTCAGCTTCAAAATCATGCTAGCTTTCTTCTTCTTCTTTTTCTTTCTTCTTCTTCTTCTTCCTTCTTCTTTCTCCTTCTCCTCCTCCTCCTTCTTCTTCTTCTTCTTCTTCTCCTCCTCCTCCTCCTCCTCCTCCTCCTCCTCCTCCTCCTCCTCCTTCTTCTTCTTCTTCTTCTTCTTCTTCTTCTTCTTCTTCTTCTTCTCTTTTCTTCTTCTTCTCTTTTCTTCTTCTCTTTTCTTCTTCTTCTTCTTCTCCTTCTCCTTCTCCTCCTTCTCCTTCTCCTCCTTCTCCTTCTCCTCCTCCTCCTCCTCCTCCTCCTCCTCCTTCTTCTTCTTCTTTCTTCTTTCTTCTTCCTCCTCCTCCTCCTCCTCCTCCTCCTCCTCCTCCTCCTCCTCCTCCTCCTCCTCCTCCTCCTCCTCCTCCTTCTTCTTCTTCTTCTTCTTCTTCTTCTTCTTCTTCTTCTTCTTCTTCTTCTTCTTTCTTCTTCTCCTTCTCCTTCTTCTTCTTTCTTTTCTTCTCCTTCTCCTCCTCCTCCTCCTCCTCCTCCTCTTCTTCTTCTTCTTCTTCTTCTTTCTTCTTCTTCTTCTCTTTTCTTTCCCCTCCTCCTCCTCCTCCTGCTCTTCCTCCTCCTTATTCTTCCTCCTCCTCCTCTTCCTTCTTCTTCTCCTTCTCCTTCTCCTTCTCCTTCTTCTTTCTTCTTCTTCTTCTTTGAACCTCATACTAGGCAGGTGCTCTTACCACCACTTGAGCCACTCCACCAGCCCTCACACTAGCTTTCTTAAACACGAAGTTTAACAGAGAGTTGAAGTGAAAAGAACCCCGTAGAATCAGAGGTAACCTGTGTGTACACCATTGTGTAGAGGATAGTTATTATCTTTCGTTAATTGGGTCTGTTCTAAAGTCAGAGTATATGAGAACTAGAAAGAAAATCTTGAATCCCATCTGAAGATGTTTTATGCCTCAAACAACATAAAGAGTAAGCACTGTTAATACCAACAGGAAAAGAACTTTCAACAAGTCCTTCAAACATCAGTGGTCCAAAAGAACACTAAGAATGGAAAACCGGAAAGGTCAAGGAAAACAGCTTTTGACCTGAAGTCACTTGCTCCACACAACCACCTGGCTCTAGGCACACTTCCAGGTTTTGGGAAGGCCCATCTGGAAGGCTCCCAGCAGAGGCCATTCTAAGTTAATGGTATTGATGAGGTTTTGGGCAACAACACTTTTATCCATTACTCCATTTGCCCATGGGTTATATCTGCTGGTCTGCCAAGGAGACATAGACTACTTCTCCTTATAAGGCTTCTGGATGTAATGCTTGGATTTGAAGGATTTTCCCATATAATTTCCAATTTTATTTAAACCAAGGTTTGCTAAAATTGATAAATATTGTTGTCCTACCATAGGGTTTCTGACAACAGATGTACTTTGACAATAATGTAGTAATTGTTACCTCAACCTTTTGTCCCATCACGGGGCTCCTAATGACACCATATCTTGACTATAACTTATTAGCTGACTCCTCAGCCTTTCAATATCTGTTAAATTTGTCAGAAGTGCAGCAGGAAAATGAAACTTGCAGAAAAGTGGAGTTTGTTTTAAAAAGAATATTTGCATATAGTCATGCTGTACCAATTATAACACTCTAAAAGCACAGAGAAATCTTACAGAAAGAAGAAAGAGAAAAAGGGCCTGCTGTGAGATTTCTGGTGCTCTCCAGGTAGGCACAGGGAGCTAAAGGGTTTTTCTATGGTGTTCAGAGGATGGAACCATGCTTTGCTCTGCTCAGTTTAAAACCTTTCTCAAAAAAGAAAAAAAAAATGCAAATAAAACCATGACTACGTTAGTGGCCATGCAAACCTCAAATGTTGCTGGCTCATTTGGTCATCATGACACAGGATGGTTGAGTGTGAAGAAAGCTTTATGTGAGAAATGCATCTCAGAAAGAGAAATGTGTCTACTGGCCAAGCATGGTGGCTCGTGCCTGTAATCCTAGCTACTCAAGAAGTGGGGATCTGGAGGATTACAGCAAGTTAGTAAGACTCTATGTCAATCAACAAGCCTAGCGAAGTGGGTTGTCTGTAATCCCAACCACACTGGAGGCAGAGGTAGGAGGAGCCCAGCCCTGGATAAAAACACAAGACTCTATCAGAAAAATAACTAAAGCAAAAAAGGTTTAAGGGACATGGCTCAAATGGTAGAATGCCTGGCTAATGCAAGACCCTGAGTTCAAACCCCAATAGTTTTTTTTTTTTTCGTGTCAAGGTGCCTTGCAGTTTCCTGAGTTATTCTGAGAAGCTGGAGACTGTAGAGCACTGACACATTTGCTAGGAGACTGTCAGAAGCACAGTGCAGGCTGTCAGAAGCACAGTGCAGGGCTCTATCAGTGAAAACCTGTGCATTCTCTCCCAGCAACCCAACCTTCTCCAAAAAATAGAGGCCATCAATTAGGATTCAGAGTTGGTCACCTTGTGGGCATTTTTGGTAGATTTCCAAAGGGTTGACTGTTATCTTTGAAATTCAAAAGCTCTCCAGAGAGTTTTGATTTTAGCCACCTTATCCTGTGGGTTCTGAAAGTTGCATTGGGAGAACTCTCTTCTTTCTCCTCTCTCTTCTCTGTTCTCCTGTCTTCTCTCCTCTCTTCCTGTTGGGTATTTTTGAGATAGGGTCTCACAAACTATTTGCCTGGGCTGGCCTTAAACCACAACCCTCCTGATCTCCGTTCCCCAAGTAGATAGGATTATAGGTGTAAGCCACTGACTCCCCGCTCATGGGTGAGTTTTTTGAGAAAGAACTTCATTTAAACTTCTTCAAAACACAGTTGATTCTCCACTGCCATAAACTCAGGAACAGCTACCTGTCTTGGAAGTCATTTCCTTTCAGAAAGAACCCGACATGTGGGGTTAATGGGAAGAAAACATGCATCTAATCCATCTACCCTCCATCAGTTTTGAAAGGACAGCATTGGGAGTAGTTCTTATTTTTGAACTTTTACCATTTTGCTATTATTGGTTTATAAATGAAGGAAAACCTGTTTTTTTGTAATCCAATGGCCCATAGGGTAGTTTATATGACTGGTATAGTTTTGACCTTCCAAATATGCTATCAGTGAGGGCCTTTATATATCCTTTATATATATCCTTTATATAGGAGTCCATATTAAAGTGAGTCAAAATGACTAAAAGGCACTGTCAGCGAGTGGACCAGAACCAGGGAAACTAAACAGCTTGTGAGGCATGAAGCAGGCTGTCCACATGAAGAATTGTTCCTCCAAAAATGCCAGGAGCACCCTTTTCTGGCCTCACTTGTCTGGAATGCACATAGAGGCACAGGTGCATGATTTTAGAAAATAAATCTGTGGAATT